GACTGATTTGCTTTTGGAGCCAGTCTCAAGTGGCCATTTTAGGAACTGCGGTTTTTGGCATTCCAGCGTTGGTTTAACTTTTCAGCCCTGGAGGTTGCCGCTTGGCATCAAAACAAGGACAAGAGGCTCAGGCTCATGACAACACGAGATGTAAACATTAATGGCGGCCGTCTTGGCAGAGCTGTAACATTAGCTGGCTCAGTGGTGCTAGGTGTGCTAGCAGGATATGCACACTTCCTCCTGTGCGTGGATACAGTTGCCGGTGTAGTTTGGTAGATAGCAAATAGTTCCTACATGAAAGTGCTCACAGCAAGGTCTGTGGATTATCGTGAGTAACTGGGTCATGATTTCTGGAAAGAGACATTGCTGTTGAGTTTTTCAAATGTATTTTTTGGCACTTTGAACACCACAAGCCGAGCTCAGTCTAGTTCTATTATATTCCACAAAACAGACTTCTCTACGGCTGATATCTCAAACACTCTGCAGCTCATAATAAAACAGTCTTGATTGATGAACAACAATACAGGTAAAAGGAGAAGTAGGTATTTTCCTTTTTTGGGTGAACTGTCCCTTTAAACACTGTAGCTGTTATACAAGACAAGAGTATACAGATTAATGGACACAAACCCAGTGGTGTTCTGCTTCTGCGCAATGTAGCGGATTTTGGTAAGGAGCAGTTCTAGTAGGTATCCTCTTCCAGAATCTCCAACCATATGTAACTCATCCACGACCACCATACCTAGCAGCACAAAAATAACACACTTCTCAAACTGATACTCTGTTATATCCTCAAGAAGACACATAGTTATCACTGGTATGTTACCTAGTAGGCCCATATTGTCCTCCTCAATGAGTCTGTTAATGAGAGAATTGGCTTTTTCTATGGTGCAAACAGCCACATCGAGTGCTGTGAACCATCCAGCAGCTGAGGTGCTGCCCATATATCCCTCCACACGAACTCCTGCCTCTTCAAATACACTCTACAGGGTCACAGAGATGGAGATGTATACACACAGACACACACAGAAGGACAACACAACATCCATAACAACATGCATGTACTTTTCTGTCCTCCTCTCCCTCACCTGAAGGTAATGCATCTTCTCTTTGGCCACAGAGACAAACGGCAGAATGAAGAGAGCTTTTCTTTTAGTCTCCAACACACGCTTCAACATTAGCAGCTCTGACACCAGAGTTTTTCCAGCACTAGTGGGGGCTGAAAGAGAAGGAATGTAAAGCAGAAAATGACCCTAACAGTGACTCACTCTGATAATCACTTTGTAGAGAAGCGTTCAGATCTTACCAGAGTACACCAGGTTACCTCCCTGCAGCACCTGCCCAACAGTGAGGCACTGAGCCTGCCATTCGAACATGTGAGTGACTCCATGTTTCTGGTAGCGCTCCAGGACAGGTTTTGGTAAGCCCCAACTGCATAACAGCAACTTTTCAGCTTGTCCCGCAGGAGCACACAAGGCAATGCCTACAGCAGAAAAAAACTACCTTTACATGTGCTATTAAATAAAACTGGTTGCAGGAGACTGTGACTGGACAAGAGATACGCTCACACAAGGTGCAAGGCTTTAATACCTGACAGGAATAGTGACCAACAGCCCCAAGGCCCTCAAAATTTAAAGACTTTAATTATTTCAGTTTTGTTCTCATATGCTGAAAATTCCAATTCCAATTCCAAAACTAAATTTTAAATTAATTACCAAATAGTATTTCTGCACCCAAGCTGTTTTCCAGTGTAGAAAACAGTATGCAAAGCACAGACTGAGAGGACAGAGGGCCCCTGCAGCTCATTTTTGCCCCAGGGCATCCTAGCAGGTTAATCCAACCATGACAAGGTGTCAAAGGAATCAACAACACAGACAAACAAGACCAACTGCAGGAAGTATCAAGCTTAAAGAAGGTTTTATGATTGTACTTCACCTGGCTGAGGTGAAGTGTCATTGAGAGTACTGACGTCTAAGCCAGTGGGGACTGTGAGCACAGAGGCGGACTGATTCTGTAATGATTGCTGGAGCTTGGCCCTCTTCATGGCCACTGCGAGGCGCGTGGGGCTGAACAAGATGTAGTCCCTGGATACATCCTGAGGTGGATCAGCATTCATATTTGAGACACTTTTGCCTTTGCTATGAGGAGAGCTTTTTCTTTTGGATGGAAGTGTCTGCCTATTGAAACACACAAAGTAAAAAAAGTTAACAGACAAGTAGAAAGGCGGATAAGCGAGACGAAAAAAAAACTGGGCGGTAATGTGTAAATTAAGACTCACTTGATCGAACTGCCTACTTGCTGACATTTTTTTATTTCTTTACAGGATAGCCCATTGATGCAGCCAGAAGCTTGCGATGGCTGGATGTTCTCTGAGCCCCTCTGAGCGTGCGCCGCTTCCTCAGAGTCCTCACTGAAGAGAAGTCTCTGTGCAAGGTCTTTGCAGTCAGCACTCCATCCTGGTCTCTTACAATCATCACTACGCCCACAGACTCCCTGCTTGGTGCTGGGTGCTCTGTGGGGTCCTTGGCCTGTGAGCTGAGGTGCTCTGTCACTCTTAATCTTATTGGCTGGTGCAAGAGCCCGTGAGGGAGCAAAGGCAGCTGATGATGATGATGATGATGATGGCTCTTCCTGTGCATGTCTATTTACTGTTGTTGGGCAGGCATTGTTAGCTGCAGGCTTCACAGGGTCTATAACATCCAGCATCTGCAGCATTTCTTCATCAAGAGCTAATGTGGATTCTCCCAGTGGAAACACTGCTCCTCCATCCTAAAAATGGAGATTAATACATGTCATTTGTGATCTATGTAGATGGAAGAGAAACACAGAAACACAGTATGAGGAACACTTCCTCCCAATACTCACCATGTGGCTGTTTATGTTTGTTTTGCCTGGTATGTAAAGGGGTTTCTGCAACAGCCTGTCTCCGTCTGGTGGTTCATCAGGAGCCTGGAAACTGCACTCAGAGAAAGGTTTGATCACCACAAGTAAGTCTGACGTTCACCCATAGAAATGACACGAAGGTTGGAAGATGTCTCTGGGCAACAGCAGAAATCTGGACCTTATAAATCAACCAGTCAGTTAAGTCACAGTCTTTTTCGAGTCATAACTCGAAAAAGACTGTGACTTAACTTACCTTTTTTTCTTCTTGATCTGGTGCTGCCCCATGTAGCTTTTCTTTTTCAGTGGAGGACCCGAGGTGCTCATACTGAGGATGTTGTACCGTTTGTGACAAACGCGTGAGTAAGTTGATGTTCATTAGAATAACAACGGTTTGACTCCTGACACGAGTTTATAAACTATATTAAACCGTTTGTATCAAAGATAACGAGGCGGCACAGCGAAAACACACGCCGCCGTATTGTTAGTTATTTTGGTTGCTGAGTATAAACATTTTTATCCCGTTGAGCAGCGGCGTGAAATCAAAAAGTCCGCCGCAGTGCCGCCCCGGTGCTCCACAAAAATAGTCCGACGAAACACAGGCTCGAAAACAAAGGTTCCCGTGCACTACTACTACTCTTAATACTACTACTGCCACTACTGCCACTTTTAATAATACTTCTAGTAATAGGCCATTGAACAGGTAGTCCTTCGATTAAATGTTTGGCTGAATCATATGTGTATGTTTATAGTCCAATAAAAGAATAGTAAACATTCCCTTGATGCTCTGAGGGCTGTTTAATGGGATGACTAGCCAAATGATTTTATAAAGTGAATGAAAAATAAAAAATTGGCCATATGATCAATTATAAAATATATGGACAAATAGACCATAGTTTACACATTACTCGTAGCAAAAAAAATGGATAAATAGAGTTCGTCAGCTGACAATAGTATGGATCCAATATTTTTTTAACTGTCTGTGGTATGAATAAAGCCAGTGAGTTAACTACAAAGAAAAATGCAGTTTTTAAACGGTCAGTGTTTCAATATAATACAGATTCTGAATTGCAAATCATAATTATAACAAAGTTTATCAGGGAGTGTTCTTTAATTATCAGAGGAGGGGGTGGTTGGGGTATAACTTTTTTTCCTTTTTGACCCTCCCACAAGCTACAAATATTTTTTCTTGGGCCTCCCTGAGTAGCTTGGGGAAAATGCAGGACCCTCCCTCCACCATAAATCAGATGTTAGATTTGTTAGATAAAAAAAAAAAATGTTGAATGAGGATGTTTGAAAGCTAAAAGTTGAAGACAAAATCATGGCATTGGCACAAAAAAGGCATTTTTTTACTCTTATTGTGCATGCTGGTTAGTTAATGCAAACTGTTTATTTTGGGCAAAATTTTAAATGAGACATAGAATAAAGGGATTTTCATGAAATATAACTACTTTGAGCTTAGATTTGGTTATGTGTTTTTCTGGCAGAATCGTTTGTCCCACATAGTGTGTCCAGTCCAACGATAGTTTCGGTTTTTACAGTTTCTGGCTATGATAAATGGTTTAATCTTGGCTATTTTTAAAGAAAACATGCCTTTCAAACCAGGGGGTTGAAAGGCATGTTTTCTTTAAAAAATTGCCTTAAAATAAATACAAAATACAGCCATGTAAAGTTGTATACCCCTCCCCAAAGCCAAAAATAAAACATAAGTCCCTCCCTGCTTCTTAAAAAAATATATGAAATGCCTCCCCATTTTGCACCACCCCGTCCCCCATCATAAGTAATGAACAGTCCCTTACTGTCAGCAAAAATTCTGATAAATTCAATTAATGAACTATAAATAGTAACATCAATGAATAAATGCAGTTTATGAATTGTCAGTAAGCTGCAGTGATAAATACAGATTTTGAAATGTGAAAAAATGCAATGATTAAATGAGTTAATTACTGTTAGCAATAAAATATTCTAAATGAATGCTAACATCTGTGGACAAATGCAGTTTATGAATTGTCAGTAGTAAACTGCATTGATAAATACGGTGTACAATCTGTGGCTGAGTGAATGCATGTGGGCGGGGCTTGTGTCTCTGTCTCGGGGTGTAGGGCGTGAGCGAGCGGCTGGTGGGCGCGCCCGCTGCGACGTTGCGGAGGCTTCAAGATGGCGGAAGCCCTGACAACTCAGGAGCAGCTGGTAAGGGTGTCTTTACGGATTTTTTCCTCATAACCCCATCACTTTCTACGTGTTCACATGTCACCTTCAGTTTCTTCTCTAACCGGCGGTTTTTTTCATATATTTTGTCACGGTGATTGTACTTGGAAACGATGTGGTGTAGTAAACAGCCCTGGCCCGTTCGTACTCTCCTGAGCCGACTGACTCCGGTGTGACTGACAGCAGTTAGCATGTGTGTTAGCATGATGGCGTTTGCTAGTAGTAGTAGGGACCACTTAACCGGCAGTGTATCAGGAATACTCGCTCCGCTGATAACCTAGCTTTACATGGACCACATTGAAATCTCCATATCGCTAATGTTAACAAACGATACGTTACCAATGGTTTGCCACATACATGTGGCTCGTAGTATCTTAAACGCTATCGTTAGCCATCCAGCTGCCACATGTAACCTAGCCGCTGGCTAATGCTAATAGCTATTGTTGACTTGCAGGGAATTTCCTCGACAGCTATCTTGATAGACGTAAAAAATCACGTTGGACCGAGTGTGAAGGTTAAAAATGACCAAACACTAATTGCTTTATGTGTTGGTTGCCATAATGTTCCATGACACAGGCAGACCAAGATCATGACTCTCATCAACGCGAGTGTTTGCTATGAGCCAACTAGCTCGCTGTGTCCTGCCTATCAGATTTACGGTCGCGAATTCACAGAAGTGATCCTCCGGTTCCTAGCATTGTTGTTGCCATCACTTTCTAGTAAAGGGGGTGGGCCTGACTTTGATGGCAAACATCAAATGTCACGCAGCAATTTTGGTGACAGTTTCATTTCATGCTACGTGTTTTATCTTTATCAAGCATTCTCAAGGTTATCTGATCTGTAAGCGGGGCATGCTTGTGCTGCTCTCAAGAGCTGCCGATTTGTTTCTTCACTGCTAACATCACTTTACCAGATCTAGTAACGCCACTCGATTAACCGCTGCGAGGACACTTGCTGTTCAAAATTTTTGTAGTTTTAGCTCGGTGATGAAGTCAACGACTTGTTGACTTTCGTTGGGTTAGCCCCACCGAGGCTAGGCGACCATCCTGGTGCTGGTGTTCAGCTACTGGTGGTAGCATACAGTGTATCCGAAGGGTGTGATTTAAAGGTACCTTCTCTGACTTGTGCCCCAAATCCGAAAGGTTTATTTCAGTTTACTGTTGGCCATATACAAACACGTCTTGGCAAAACCATCAGTGATTTAGGGAAAAGAATATATAAGGAAGAGTACCTTCAAATTACACATTACTTGATTAAAAAAATGGTGAATGATGACACAACAAACTACCAGGAACTGAATGCCAACTTGAGGGGTGTCAAGGGCACTAGATAGTACATTCTGATGCAATCGTGTGTCTGATTTGATCTCTTTCTTCTCTTGACATGATCGAAATGTCAGGACCAGGTGAGGGTTTCTCGAACATGGGTGTGTATTCGCAACATCAGTGTGTCCAGTCACAGCCTTGCGCTTAGTCGGCTCAGAAGTCTTTTTAAGTCCAGGTGTTGTAACTTGATAAACAACTGAATATGCATTATTTTTTGTAGACTCATTGTTGCACTGACAGCATGATCCCACACATGCATGTCAGGGTATTCCATAGTGTAACAATGCAGGGGTTGTGCCACCTCTGCTGACATCTTGAAAAATTACATATTTCCCATTGTTGTTAATAAATTACCAGTATCTATCGAGTTGTTCCAATTCCAATATCCGAAATACGTCCAATACTGCCTAAAATGCTGGATTGGGCACTGGCAAGTACATGATTCAATGCATCAGTCCAATACCACATGAGTTATTAATAAACGTTAAAGTAGTTTCACACGCAGATAAAACAACGGTTTTCCTGGAAGTGGAAATCAGTTATTCTTCGCTACTCTGAAACAGCAGCCTACACAGCAAGTTGTGCTTTGCAGCCACTGGCAGCTACTGTTTTTGAGAGTGGTGAAGAAGAATTGATTTCTGGGAAAAAGTGTTACATTAGCCGTTAGCAAAATCCCAGGAATTTGGCAGTGTGTTACACTGCTTAAAATAAAGATCAATGGCAATCTTCATATTTATTTGTTCATGTTTTACATGGGTTTTAACCTGAGCTATGCCATACAACAATGGGAGCAATCATTTCACATCCATACAGAGTTAGTAGTATATAGCTGTTCGCTGTTGTTGTTGTTGTTGTTGTTTTTTTAACCGAATGGTATTGGATCAGTACACAAGTTTAGGTATTGGATTCTATATCAGGAAAGAAAAATGGTACTGGAACATCTCTAACATATTAAAAAATAACATTCAGGTAAAAAAGAACTGGAGTGCTGTTTATTTCACACGGCAAATGCAATGCATTTAATGAGTGTGTCTGTGTTTTGCCGTCATCTAATGACACAACTGATCATGAGACAAGATGCATCACAGTCTGGGTGCATCTTGTTACCACATCTGCAAAACAATTCATAGAGAAACCCTATGTACGGATGAATATTTCACGTGACATCTGCTTTCTTCTTCTTCGTCCTATGAGAGGGTAGATTCAAATTTTGTACATAGCCGATCAGTTAATCTGAAGTGCCCATCTTAGACTCTCCTTGTACTGGTTACATTTTTGGAGGACAGATGCAGCTTACTTGAGTGACAACAAGCTGACTGTTGTCTCCTGGCATTTGAGTGCGCTTATCCTCGGCATCTTCCAGGGGCACAGCCTGCTGCTGCCTGCCATCTGTATCACACATTTTTGTAACTTTGGCAGGGAAAGAGCTACAAAGCTGAGGGGGCTGACAGACTCATGCATTCTCTTTGTCATGTCAGTTGTCATCTTCTTTCTGTCATCTTTTTTTCTTCACTATCGGTCTACTCCCTAAATTCCAAGTCTTTGATGTTTATTTCAGCAGTTTCTCCTCCTCTGGGTATTCCCCTTCTGCGCAGACTTCTTTTGCTTTCATCTCACCTCTCACACCTACAACCTCACCCCTTTTCTTCCATCTCCTCTCTCATGTTTGTCTCAGGCTGTGGAGGAGTTCCTGGGTGAGGTGCGTAGCAGGGAGCAGCCTCACAGCGCTGGGCTCGTGTCCCAACCAACAGCTGTAAAGTTTCTTATGGCCCGCAAGTTTGACGTCTCCAGAGCCATCGACCTCTTCCAAGCATACAAGGTACAGCAGTGCTTTGATTGGTGACAAAACTGAGATGACTATTCACTTTCTCTATTATCATCATGACACTGTAGGTCTTAAGTGGGGCTAAAAGATCTGGTGAAGATGTTCATTTGCAAGTTTTCTGACCTGACCTTTTCCTGATATTGTGATTTGAATTGTGAAAAATTTCTTTAAGTCTGTTTGGTGATGTAAACAGTATTAAATTCATAAGTTGGTATCAATTATCACAAATGTTGCTTGTTTGTAAATGAATTGTCTCGCATAGCCAGACCTGTCTCATGCTATTACAGGGCTGGAGAAAGGTCTGGCTGAACACATCATCGTTCTGCACTAGGGATGCATGATACTGGATTTTTTGCCAATATCCAATATGTCAATATGTAACAACTCATTTGCCCGATAACAGATACCCAATTTTAGTGATCATCAAGTCTCTTCTGTAGTGGAATTAACATCATATTATGCATGCATACTCTTGTCGTGATGGCCCACCAGCAGATGGAGACATGAAATACATTGTATTGTATGTAATATTCATTCATTGTGCAAAATAAGAAAAAGCACGTTGGCCAATTCTGATAGTATAGAATGTTGGCTGATACCGATGATAATATTGTGCATCCCTATTCTGCACAAAGGAAAAAACATTCTGGGTTGTTTTTATGTCTTGTAACCAATCACAACCTCCTTGCGAGGATGCATAAATGATTAAATAAATAATGTCTGGAGGGAGCTTGTTTTGGTGGAAAGGTGATTACAGCCATTAAAATGGTAAAATCCCCTTTAACAAAAAGGCCACATTAATGAAAGACGTTTTAACGTATAGGTTGCTTGCTCAGACATTTTTGTTGTGTCACACACAGCATTTAAACAAAGTTTGGATATAGATTTGGCTATGTGAGACTAGTTTTACACAGCAACCAGGATTTTGAAAACAGTAACACACAGAAAGCATGTTACTGTCTGAGATAGATGGCCCATAGTCTACATCCTGTGAGCCAGACCAGTAAATGAAAGGAATGAGATAATTTGATGTGGTTGCTTGCTGCTGTTAAGTGTTTGCTCACAGTGTAAAAGTTTTGATATCTGACTGACAACCCTCAATGACATGTTGACAGCTCTCCACTGTAGCAGCAAACAAGTCGTAAACCATGTCCTGTTATAACAGGTTGTACTTTGGCTCTGAATAACAATGTTTTATTCAAAACTGAATAGCAGCATGTTGTGCTGTGCGTGTGGGGAAGTCAGACCACTGAGGCTTCACTGCAGATGTATACAGGAGGGGGAAAACATATCACAAACACCCACAAAATCTAATTAGGATAACACTACAGAATCCCAGCAACAAACACAACCCTTTTCTCAATAATGTGTCAAGATATGCTGAGATTTTTTGAGGCTGCACTTTGTAGTGTTGTTATATGTATCCACCTTATTCTTAGCCACCATGATACCTTGCGTGAATTATGTGTGCAACTTCCGGCATTGAACCCAAACCGGTGATTTCCAGCGGTCAGTTTGTTTAAAGTACTCTATTCTTTCCAAGAACAATTTTCTAATGTAGGTTGAGAATGAAGTCAGATGGGTAAAGACAGGGATATCATGTGCTGACGCTGAGTGACGAACCTGTCAGTCTAGGTGTCATTCTCTTCTGCAAATTCTGATTTTATACTTTTTCTCTATGTCTCGTGAAACTCTTGTGGTTTCATTTCTCATATCAATGGTTCCTTTGGCAACAGGAACAATCCCTTTTTGTTCTGGTTACATGTTTAACACACAGTTGCTGAAGACAAAAATTTAGCTTAGACTGGTTGTTAGTCGTTACAGACACGGACAGAGCGACAGGTACCACAGCTGTGCAAAGACATTTCAGAGAATGCAAGGCTGGTTCTCTTAGGGAGTAATTTGCCTTCAGTTTAGCAAATACTGATTTTTTTAATCAAATATTAGCTAATGTTAACTACTCCCTAAGAGAACCAGCCTTGCCGGTTAGGCACCAAGAGTTGCCACTGGGACGAACCACAGACAGTCACAGTTCTGTGCATGAACCTTGAAGGCACAATCCACAACAAAGCACAAAAGTGTTGTCTGCCACTGACATTTGGTTTACAGCAGCAGACTATGAAATTCAATTAAATGTCCTTTTTGATGCTGTTTTACACACTGTTTTAGCTGCAAGTTCATGTCTTTCCCTTCCCTCTTGTCTCTGCATCATGTATAAAAATTAGAACACAAGAATCAAAGAGGGCATCATCAATATCAACCCTGACGAGGAGCCGCTACGCTCTGAGTTGCTGAGCGGAAAATTCACAGTCCTGGTGAGTACTAAAGCAATTGTGAGCCACACTTTAGAATACAGGCTACGCAGAAAATGTCGGTTATTTAAAAAGAGTTTTGTGTGTATGTGCATGTCACGCTGCACGTGTATGCTTGCTTTTGTGTCCCTTTATGAATAGAGATGAAGTAACAGATGCAAATGTGCATGTCCATAGTCAGATCTGCCCTTCTCACACATTGCATACAATGGAAGTACAATGACTTTGCATTGATGTATATGATAACCCGCTAATTTTCCTACCAGCCTGGCCGTGATGCAAAGGGTGCCGCTCTAGCGCTCTTCACTGCCCGTCTCCATCGGCCAGACGTCACCACCCACAAAGCTGTGCTGCAGGCCATCATCTATCAGCTGGACAAAGCCATAGAGAGGTGATGTCCTAATACATACAACTTTATTTTTGCACCCTGTTGTTGTAGTATGGAGTATTGCCTTATTTTAAGTTTCTCTCAGGTATGTTTTATAAAGTTGTATGTATATCTTATGGCAAGCTTCTTTCCTCTGCTTTTAATTTGAAAATTTTGTTCACTTCTCCCCAGTATACAAACTCAAAGAGACGGACTCATATTTATCTACGATATGACCAACTCCAGCTATGGTAACTTTGACTATGAGCTCTGTGTCAAGATCCTCAATTTGCTCAAGGTAAATAAATATACAGGAATATCGTCCATTGCTCTTAACTACTTGCCTTTAAGTTTTTGGTGTCAAAACTGTGTCTGTGAAATTACAAAAATCCTCTTCATCATTTTCTCTGTCTGATGTTTATATTTTCCAGGGGGCGTTTCCAGCTCGTCTAAAATGTGTCTTCATTGTGTCATCGCCTCTTTGGTTTCGTGCACCTTTCGCGGTCCTTCGCCTATTTGTGCGCGAGAAGCTGAGAGAACGGGTACGAACATCTGTTTTCAGTTGTTTAATGTAGGGATTGTGAAATTGGGGGCGAAACAATGTTTTTGTTGTTGTTGTTTATTTTGTTTTTGTTGTTACTTATTCCTGCCATTGTGCCAGGAAAACAAAGAACTTTTCATTTTTCAAAAAAATGTGAACTGTTTTTAAATCATTAAAAGGGAACTAATGTTGGGGCATCGGTAGCGTAGTGGATAGTGCCGGCGCCCCATGTACAGAGGCAATGCCTCACTGCAGCGGTCGCAGGTTCGATTCCGGCTTGCAACCCTTTGCTGCATGTCATCCCCCCCACTCTCTCTCTTTTTTCCACACAGATAGGCTCGGATTGTTAGTATAATTATCCCACAACATAACGTAAAGGAGAAATGAATATCTGTGTTTACCTTTAGCTGGATTCAGACATGTTCCTCTGCCTGTTGCAATTTTAGTATATGTGCTGCCGAAGTAACACTGGTCCCTCTCTCTCCTCGTCCGCTCTTCAATTTCAATGAGCTCTGCATCCTTGTACGTCCGTGTACATGTTGATAGTGAGTTTACTGTGTTCTTTCGTACTGAAGGAATCCTGGGGAAGATCTCTGTTTGTCCCAGATATGTTTTCTGTCGTCCCCAGGATGACCGTATGCAATTAGTCTCAAGCCCTGCAGCCTGAGCAAAATTAATGTGGCACAACAGAAAAACATTGGCCACTGCCATCAGTGAATGTCCTCTTATTTGCCGATAGGCCGCTGGCAGTCAACAAGGCGGATATCAGCCGATACCAATAATCAGCTGATAAATTTGTGCATCCCTAGTGTTATGTCGTAGTGTGTAAGATGTGTGGCTTTCATTGGTCATTTGAACTGTGTTTTCTTTCTTCTCCATTCGCCAGGTGTGCACAGTGAAAGCTCACGAGTTGGCCAGTCACATCCCAGTCTCCTCCCTCCCTGAACACCTGGGTGGGACATCCCAGTATAGCCACGTGGCTTGGATCCAGTCCTGTGTTAACACACACACAAACACTGTTCAGGGTGACACACAAGAACACGACACACATGACTGTGTGGGAAGCCTGCTGCGCTCCTACAGCTTAGAGTGCAGCAACACAAGCGCAGGCGCTACACTGTCCCACACCCATATAAACACACAGTTAGGTTCCGAGCTAGGCGTGGCTAACTCAAACTGCTACGATGATAGCAATGCTAACCCACACAATCACTGCAGTGTGGCAGAGGGCAGGACTCGAGGCCAAGGACAGTACCAGCAGAGCCCCCAGTCTGCTGCAAACAGGCCGCAGGGGAACCACCAACACTGGAACGGCTCGGCAGTGAGCGGGGCCAACATGGTCGTTAGTGGCTCGAGCCCCAATGCTAACATGAACGGTCGTGGCCGCCAAGCCCCTCCCCAGTCAGACACGCCCCCTGACACACCGCTTTCCCAGAAAGGTGATGGGGATGCGGTCGACGGAAAGGCAACAGACTCTGCCCACATGTCTCAGAATGATGACGTAAAGGAGGAAGAGGAGGAGGAGGAGGAGGAGGAGGAGGATGGCGAGGGAGAGGAAGGGGTGCCTCCATTGCCTCAGAAATCTTTGCCCCGCCCTCCCCACCAGCCCTCCTCCCAGTCCCCGCCCCTGTCTTCATCATGGGGTCCCGATGATGAGGATAGCTGCATGGAAGTGTCTGTTCACATGCCAGAGCAGGGAGGCATGACGGTGCATGATCTGGTGGAACATGTGAAGAGAAAGAAGAAGAAGGGGATTTACCAGGAGTACGAGGAAATCCGGAAGGAGCCACCAGCAGGCACCTTTGACTACTCTAAGTAAGAGAATCTCTTTTTATTCCTCAGTGTGCTTCTGTCTCTCTGCCAGTTTCTTCCTTTATTTTCAGTTTCTCTGTACTAAGGTGAAGGAAAATGACGACACATCTGCCCACTATTTAAATCTGTCAATATTTCTGTAAATATTTCACATTGTACTCAATTCTGCCATTCCAGAAAACTGTCCAATCAGATAAAGAACAGGTACAGTGATGTTCTCTGCCTGGACCAGTCACGAGTGCGACTCTGCCAGCTCTGTGATGACGAGGATGAGGTAATGATAAAAACATTAGATTTCATTTCTCTCCTTCTTTCTCTTGTTTTAATGAATAATTTCATTCACAGATGTTCTCTAAAAGTTACTACTTTGTAGATGAAAGATGATGTTATGAATGTTTGCTGCCAACATCAGTCATAGAGGCCTCTGTTCCACCCTCTCATAAGAAGTATGTACTGGTTACGTCTCAGAGAATATAATGTTATATGTTGCATGCATTTAGTTGAGTCATTGGTGGAGGGCGCTGAGATGATTGTAAAAGATTGGCTGGAGATGTAAATGTGGAAAATGGAAGTTGTATTAGCAGTTAAATTTCAACACTAACACTGGTGTGACAACTTTCGGGTCTGTTCTTTGTGATGTCTTGACCTGTTCTCATCTTACGGGTCTGGTATGTGTGACTGGAAAGTGAAATGCTTGGCAATATCATATGCTGTGGGTTTCATGTTGTTTAAAGGAAAGGCCTGCTTTTGGCAAAGGGGGTCTTCTTTTTGTAAAATGAGCACAATGTTGTCATAAGTGATGCTAAAAATTGCCAAAACTATGAACATAAGTCCAGGTTGTTAAAAGTCCTTCAGACAAAGTAAAAAGGTGGTATGACTTTGGAACAAATGTTGGTATTGGCAACAAGATGAATCTCAGGAACTGGAGAAACTTAATATTGACTGAGTGGATTCATATTGTGTATAAATTAACATTGTTTGACACTCCAATCTCCAGATTTAACCATTCAGTGCAACTGAGTGACTGGCCTTAAAATAGGCCAATAGTAATGTTCAGTGTCCTCCTACAGGAGGCAGTAGATCCTAACCCATACCAGTAAGTCTCATGCTGTTTTCCTCTGTGTGTTTTGCAGACATCAGATTACATTAATGCCAGTTTCATGGATGGGTACAAGAGGAATAATGCCTACATCGCAACTCAGGGTAAGCAGCTGTTGACACAACCTACGCTCCTACATATGATAATATTTATAAAGTCCTTTACACCTTTTCTGCTCTAAGGTAGGGATGTTCCTAACGACTAATTTCCCTGATGTTTCAATTGAAGTTTAAACCTAGACTAGTTGACTAGTGTAAAATAAAAGGAAACACCCAGAAAACAAAGTTTAGCACAGTTTCATCTTCAGACTGTTTCAAATCTGACAACATAAACATTCTAAATGGGTCCAAATGTATTTCCTGTTGCAATGTTTGTTAATGTAGCAGCTGATGAGGAAACTATAAAAGAAGGAAAGGACAAGATGTCAGTGACAGCGTTCAAATTTTGCAATGGAGCCAGGGTTTGGTGCCAGTTCTGTTGAAGTCACTGGGGCGGGCAACCCATCGTGTCTTTGTTGTTTCCCCTTTGACTGCGTTATCCTTCCACAGGATTAAGAAAAACACACATTACATGATGCTGACTGACATTTTTTTTTGTTATTGGTTTCCAAACTGATCATGACTCTGTCCATCAGCTACATACAGCTCAACTCAAGCCCCTGTTTGCTCCAAACTACATAACAATACATGAACAAACAGGGCAGGTCTGACAGTTATATGAAGTTATAACCAGATCAATTTATTAATGGCTGTGATTATTATTCTGGCTGGACTCAGTGATTTACATTCGCACTAATGTTAGTCATCTAATGTTAGCCTTTATTATGAGCTAGTGCGCACACTAGTCATAACAACACCTTTTTAACACCTCTGAAGGATTATTTCTCATTGACGTTTACCATTTTATCTCCAAATAGATGTTGGTAGGCTGCCGGCTAGCGTTAGCTAAACAGAATGCAAATGCTAACTTAGGTTATTGACAAACAAAATAACAAGTACCGTTAATTGATAAAAGTCCAAATTTATAGTAATTTAGCGATTAGCCTCACCTCCTGATTATATTAGGAAATATTACAGGGCTGGCTAATGTTAGCCTTCCTGAATATTAATAAATATCAACAACCGATTCAAGGTTGATTCGTTGTTAATCAAATACATGTAGCCTACAATACTACCTGCTACCAGCGGGTAGGTTAGCTGTCTTGGACCCAACAGGAGCTTGGACAGAGCCATGATCTGTGTGGAGACTAATAACAAGGAAAACAAATGTGCCCATTTAGATAAAAAGTGTCAGTGAACATCATATGATGTGTGTGTTTTTTTTAATTTGGTGGAATAATTTTTCAGTTAAAGGCAAAACAACAAAGATATGATGGGCTAAAGTGTGATTCTGCTTCATAAACTAAAATAAAACTTGCACCACAGTCTGGCTTCAATCCAAAATTCAAACGCTGCCACTGACATCATTTCCTTTCCTTCTTTTATAGTTTCCCTGGTTGCTGACAGGAAGTACACAGGGATCAGAGCTGTTGCCCTAGCAACAAAATAACAATGAAACCATCCATAAGGCTAAACATAGGACAAAAAAAAATACTACATATATTTTAAGAACCATTTGAAATCAATAATCACATTTTTTAGAAACCAAATCGTGTTTAAAATGCAGCTGAAATGTGTAGCACTTTGCACCGCGCATGAACACTGCACATTATCGTACAAAACATGACGACAACTCACAAAATAAAATTTGAATGATAGCTTTTTATTTAGGCCACTGTGTGTTTAACGTCCAGACTTATCGTTACTCAGAAACACAGTCACTCACGTGGTATCTCTCATGCATGAGTGTGCACACCAGCTCAGTGGCCTAGTGGTAGAGTGTCCACCCTGAGACTGGGAGGTCGTGGGTTCGATCCCCGCTGGGTCATACCAAAGACTATAAAAATGGGACCCCCTGCCTCCCTGCTTGGCACTCAGCATCAGGGGTTGGAATTGGGGGGTTAGATCACCTCATGATTCCCGAGCACGGCACCGCTGCTGCTCACCGCTCCCTCAGGGGATGGGTCAAATGCGGAGAACAAATTTCACACACTCAGGTGTGTGACAATCAACGGAACTTTAATCTTTAATCTTTAAACACCAATTGGCAAACACATCCAGGCTTCTCAGGATCTTCCGTGTGCCAAACTAACAACATCCAACCGGCGCAAGTGTGTGTGAAGACTTGGACATACTTTGTGCGTCTGCAGACAGCTGTGGACTTGTACTGGTCGTGCACATGCACATGCTGTCTGACAGCGCTTGTATGTGTTAGGACGTGTGTGTGAAATGGAGAGAAAGGGAGAGTTTTCCATGATCAGAGCTGCTGTCTTACATGCCAATCCTCCCATTGTTTCTGGTTATTTCAATAATATGTTTAAACAACTAGTTTTCCCTGTGCTGACTAGCAAGGGTAGCAACATTTGATCAGCCAGTCAACTAATCACACACACGCCTATTTCAGAACCTTCTCAGTCACCCTCGCCTCAGTAGAATACAATTTGGTGTTCCCATGACCTTATAGACTTTTTTGTCCTTCAGGTCCTTTGCCAAAAACTTTTGGTGACTTCTGGCGCATGGTGTGGGAACAGATGGTACTTATCATTGTCATGACCACCAGGTAAGACTCCTGCTACATCTGAGTTTTGAAATGTGTTAGAGATTTACAAAGGGTGTTTGTATACAGAAGTGGTTGTCCAAGTAGCAACTTGTCCTCAATGGGCTGATGATTAAAAAGATGTTTACGTCTGTGTGTCTCAGGGTGGTTGAGCGTGGGAGGGTCAAGTGCGGTCAGTACTGGCCTCTTGAGGAGGGCAGGACTGAGCAGTACGGATACTTCTTAGTTAGGAACACACACATCCAGGTGTTTCAGGACTTCAAACTCTCCCATCTTGAACTTTACAACACACAGGTAAGTCACACTGAATTCATTGGTATTTAAAAATTCTTAAACTAAGTCTGTTAATTTGAGGTAATAAAATGTTCTTTCTAATATCTTTAATATGAAGTATTTTCAATGGCATCAGAGGTGTTGAAATTTCTAATAAAAGAGAACTTGATATGACATTGCTGACTCCAGATTGAGTGTTTGATTTGTCAGTGGAATCTCTTCCATGTTTAAGGTATCACTATTTCATGTAATTCGATGATCATACTTGGCATATTGGCCCACATGCTTGTACATGCCATTTCAAAAGAAAGAATCTGATATCTTTCTGTTTTCTTCTCTGAACCTTTGTGACCTATGATCAGTCTGGAGAGAGACGGGAGGTGTGCCACTACCTCTATGTCAGCTGGCCAGATTTCGGAGTACCCAAAAGTGCTTCTGCAATGTTGGACTTTCGTGAGCATGTACTTCAGAAGAGGGAGGCTGCAGTCCGGAGCCTGGGCTCTAGTTGGACGGGGCCTCCAGGGGGCCCCCCTGTGGTTGTGCACTGCAGTGCTGGCATTGGCCGCACAGGTAAACGCTTGCACCATTGTGCAGTTCAAATACTTCTGCAATACATTTAGTGGCCACTTCATTTGATATACTGCTGTGTTTATACAAATACACATTCCTTTCAGTTATGTGGCTTTGTGTTGACATACAGTGGTGGTGTTGCTGTAAAACTATATCAAATGAAAATTTTCAATACCAGCCAGTGCAGTACCTTAGAGTTTTAGTACGGATATGAAACATTTTTTCTGGACACTTTTTATGAAAAATTTTGCTACAAACCCCTTTTTCATTTAACAAAGCAAGCCAAAGTTCCAAAATGTCAAATGTTGTATAAAGACAAGAGTTTGTACAAGAACTTCTAAAAATCTAAAACTGGTGAACTAATAATTGAAACCTCTCTAGAGCCCCTTTCCCACTGCACAAAAAAACCACCAACACCTGCTAACATCTGGCTTTTTAATGTAATGGGAAGGGTTACAATTGGCACTCAGTCAGCTCCAGCTCTGTTCTGCATTGATGGAAACACAACACCTGCGTGAACACGCTAATTTTAGCTCCTCTACCAGCAAGATGCAATGACGCACCACCACAAAATATCATCCGTCTCTACCCAAACAGCGTTCAACATCACAATAGCCTGCACTGGCTAATGTTTACTGACCTGTTCTCTGGCTGGCCGTGACATCAAACATGACACACCAAAAAACTCACAATTGACATTTTCTCATGTAACCTCTCCACCCTCATTCTGTCCATCTATGCTTCTCTCCCGTCCGCCCGACCAGGCACGTTCTGTACACTGGACATCTGCCTGTCCCGGCTGGAGGACATCGCCACAGTAGATGTCCGTCAGACGGTGCGGCGGATGCGTACGCAGAGGGCTTTTAGCATCCAGACCTGGGACCAGTACTACTTCTGCTACACAGCAGTCATCGAGTATGCCCAGCGCCACGGGAAACTGAGCCCAGTGCAGTGGTCTGACTCGGACCTAGAGACTGACAGCGAGTGAGTGACACACAGAGGGACAGAAAAACGAATGGGATAGCCAACCTAAGCCGAAGTCATAGGAACGAAAGAGTGAGGAGTGACGTTTCAGAGAAGAGGAGGGAGATGACTCTTCTGCCATAAAAGAGAAGAGACAAAGGATGGAGATGTTGTTTTGGCTTCTGACGTAATGACACAGACTCCCACAATCACTCTTCCGTCATATGAATGAATCGATGGAAGAGGTAAAGAGCTGGAGGGAAAAAAAACAGGGAGTGGAGACTGTGTCACCGATTGAGCAAGCTGTCCTGCCAATTTCCGAGCCCCTTTTTATTTAGCAAACTACAGGGGGACTTGGCCTGCCCTGAACCTGTCTTGTTGACAAGAGAGTTGTACGAGTTGTAGCATTTTTATATTGACTTGCACATGAGGAATGACAAACTTGAACTGTACCCCTTGACACCCTCCAAACCCCAGTCTTTGTTCTTTTGTATTTCTTGTTCCTTTTCAACCCTGAACAAGTCTGTGATCACAGATAAAAAGTGAGGGGGATGAAAAGATGAAACTTGAAAACATTTTTTGTTTGTGTTTTTTTTATTTTTTTGAGAGGAAATGGCTGTGTGTGAGCAAATGGTCGTAAGTGACAGTAGATCAGTGTGTGAGCCATTTAGTCCATTTCCGTTTTTTTTTTTCCTCCCTTTATTTTCCATGTCCTTTTTTTCTATGGTGCATTTTCTACGTGTGTTTCATATTTGTGCATATGTAGACTAACTTTTCAAAGCCAAAGTCCTCACCCTGAATGCTTGGATGTACTCCTTACTGAGATATTATAGACTGAAGCCCATGTATATTCTTGTAACATACATTTATACGTTATTGTGCATAATAACAACCTCTGAAAGAAGAGCAAAAAAAAAAAAAAAACAATATAATATAATTGACTTAACCGTGAGAAGAAATATCTATGTAGCGAGCCAGGCTATGACAAAATACAGAAAAGTGTTCTGGTATTAAAAACTGATATCGTATTACAAATCTGCGCGATTTGTCAGGTCTAACATCATCTTTACTGTCGGAGCGTTCTGATCGGACGATCTTAAGTAATTTGGCCTTAACTTGATTCACTGCCTCGTCGTTCTCAGACCTAAAACATACCTGAAACTGTAAACTTTTATTTCCCCTTTTGTTCTTCCCCTTTTTTGAATCTTACTCCCTCAATACCACAACTGTTATGTTTGATTCTCGAGGTATGTTCTGCCTCAGATAATTGTGCCTTCAAGTTTTCCTTAGCTTAATGTCTCGCTAGTATAGTAATAACACCCAAACTAGTGCACTTGAATAGTACACGTTGACTATGTATCACACAGGACACCCACATTTTGCCTAATATGGTCCTGTACATAGTACACTACTTCAGAATAACATGAAAGTAGTGAGTTATCTGGGACTAAGCTCTGGTTTGAGACATGGCTATTCTTTTATCATTTGACCTCAGGGGGTAATTCTAGTATTTTTTGCCTAGTGTCAAAGATCCGTTTCTGGGTTTGCCTCTGGTAAATTATCATTTAAGAAAGAAACTATATCAACTTTATTTTGTATTTTTTACTGTATTGTATCCTACTATATTTATGTCTTTGTAAAACTTCTACAATATTGAAATCAGTGAATGTTGGTACGATGCTACAAAGAAAAACAAAACCAGTTATTGCATTTGATAAGCTGAACAAATCAGATGGGGAGTGAAATATATTTTTTGTTTTTCACGATGAAAAATTGGTGGAAAATGTCACTTGCCATTGTATTTTCAGAACTGACTTGTATAAATGGTGATTGTTCGATTCTAGGACAATAGGGGGGAGGGCGTGGGGGGGGGGGGGGGGGGGGGTTCTCTATAGCTGATGTAACGTGAATTGCTCCTGTGTGAGATCAATAAAACTCAGTAACGATTACATTAACGTCTTGTACTGNTAATATAATTGACTTAACCGTGAGAAGAAATATCTATGTAGCGAGCCAGGCTATGACAAAATACAGAAAAGTGTTCTGGTATTAAAAACTGATATCGTATTACAAATCTGCGCGATTTGTCAGGTCTAACATCATCTTTACTGTCGGAGCGTTCTGATCGGACGATCTTAAGTAATTTGGCCTTAACTTGATTCACTGCCTCGTCGTTCTCAGACCTAAAACATACCTGAAACTGTAAACTTTTATTTCCCCTTTTGTTCTTCCCCTTTTTTGAATCTTACTCCCTCAATACCACAACTGTTATGTTTGATTCTCGAGGTATGTTCTGCCTCAGATAATTGTGCCTTCAAGTTTTCCTTAGCTTAATGTCTCGCTAGTATAGTAATAACACCCAAACTAGTGCACTTGAATAGTACACGTTGACTATGTATCACACAGGACACCCACATTTTGCCTAATATGGTCCTGTACATAGTACACTACTTCAGAATAACATGAAAGTAGTGAGTTATCTGGGACTAAGCTCTGGTTTGAGACATGGCTATTCTTTTATCATTTGACCTCAGGGGGTAATTCTAGTATTTTTTGCCTAGTGTCAAAGATCCGTTTCTGGGTTTGCCTCTGGTAAATTATCATTTAAGAAAGAAACTATATCAACTTTATTTTGTATTTTTTACTGTATTGTATCCTACTATATTTATGTCTTTGTAAAACTTCTACAATATTGAAATCAGTGAATGTTGGTACGATGCTACAAAGAAAAACAAAACCAGTTATTGCATTTGATAAGCTGAACAAATCAGATGGGGAGTGAAATATATTTTTTGTTTTTCACGATGAAAAATTGGTGGAAAATGTCACTTGCCATTGTATTTTCAGAACTGACTTGTATAAATGGTGATTGTTCGATTCTAGGACAATAGGGGGGGGGGGGGGGGGGGGGGGGGAGGGGGGGGGGGGGGGGGGGCAGCTAACGAGTATGTTTTTAGACAGCTTATTGTTAAACTCAGTAACGATTACATTAACGTCTTGTACTGTCTGGTACCCAATGCCAAGGACAAAGCAAAAAAGAGCTATCAAGAGAAAAAAAAATTGCAAAAAAGACAAGTGGCTGCCATTTCAGTTCACAAAACCCCAGCTTGGTGTCTGTGAGTAAAAAAAAACATAAAAATATCTATATATTTCAAATGGATTAAGGTTTATCAGCATGGAAAGCGAGCCTTGAATGTTTTTCGGGGTAATGGTGTCCGAGCAATTTAGTCAGGACAGACATGGATATTGTTGGTGAATGTGGACCCTGCATCCCTCAATGCCAAAGGCCCAGGCTCACCCTAAAGATTTTTTCCTATGACACATCCTCAACAGCCTACTAGCATGGACCTACCAGTGCAGCCTTGCATCCACGGACACAGAAAGACTCGGGAGCACCTTGGGAACATTACTAAAGATAATGTATAGACACAAAATGGGAGAGTGTGTATGTACAAGAGTCCCCATGCTATTTTTAATTTGTTGTATGAGAAACGGAGAATGCAACGTGCATTTGTCATTAGTGTTCATTTAATGTTTCTTTCTGTGCTTTAAGTTCTCGTGATTGAATTATGGCCTTTTACATGCTGTCAGCCCGGCTGTCCCATTAAAGCAACGGTATTACTATCTTGAATGAGTATGAAGCTAATGTGATCTCTTCTTGACTGAACAGTGTGGTGCATAGATTAAACGTGCAGCATGAACATGTCCACCATGTTTTCAAGCAAATCTTCACTTTCCATTCAGTTTGTTTTTTCTGTCCTCCAATCAACACTCAACATAAGCACATATATGTTTGTTTCAGTAGACTATGATTTGTGCCTGACACCAATGAAGGGAACCCACAAACACTTTCTCAAGTACTGCACATTAAGTTTAAACTTGAGATACTTGTACTTTATTTGAGTACTTTCATATGATACCCCTTTATACTTGCACTCTACTACATTTCAAGAAAAGTTTTTATTCTAACATTATTTGCCAGTTGTAGGTTACTAGTTACTTTAGAAATTAAAATTTTACATATGAAACACTTGATGAGATTATAAAATACACTCAAATGCATTACTTTGTTTATTTTGTCAGGTTTATATATTGCAATTACATTCACATTTTCCAACAAATTGAGTTAAAAAATATATTAATAAAACTAAGCTAAATAAACTGAATTTATGTCACAAAAGCTCAAAGAATTAACCTAATTTACTATATAAAGTTTGGGTAATTCTTAAAAATTGTGTATTCCAAATAAGCTAATGTTTATCAACATATTTAAATTACATAGAATTTATTAATTGTTAATGTTCATCAACATATTTGAAATACTCAGAATTTATTAACTGTAATTACATAAACTTCATTTAAGTAAATTAGGTAAATTCTACAAGCTATAGGTAAATAAATTCTCATAGTCTGTTTATCTCAGTTGTATTTATTTTACTTACTTAAATGAGTTCATGTTAGAATTACTTGACTCAATTCAATAGAAATGTTGTATGTAATAGAAATACATAAACCTGACATAGACCAAATAATTACTTTGTGAGTGTATGAAATATTGCTATAGATCAAATTACCCAACAGTATAAAAGAAAGATCCAACTCAACCAATTCAAATAGTAACATGCCACTTGGCCCACACATTAATGTGTCAGTAATATATCTTTGGTGTGAAACTCATGAGGCATCACAAAACATAAACATAAAATGAATCTCAAAATGAATTAATATTTAGGGAAGGATCCGTTATTAATTCATATTTTGAGTAAAAATATATATAACCAGGCATGCCTGACTGGGTTAGGGTTAGTCTAACCCCTAACCCTACCCCTGATGTAAACAAACCCTTTACCATAACAGACAGCATATTTATTTGTTTTCTAGTGTTAGATGATACTTTCAATGTGTTTTGCATTTTGGTTTAGAGGGCCAACTTTAATTTTTAAGTTTCTGGTTCCCTAAATTACTGTGCCCTGCAAGCACTGCACCTGTGTTGTTTACAATGACTGTGTTTACATGCACCAAATATTTTGGTTGTGCCCTAATTTTCCAAAAAGGACAATATTCCTGCTAAGCTGTTTAAATAGTTAATGAAAATGAATATTTTACTAAAATTCCAGTTTACATACAGCTCTGGTTAACATGCCCTGACATGTTGTTTATCACATCAAAATATGGAAAAGTTAAATGACTGGAGCTGCTTGTGCCATTTTGCTTCTGTACATCAAAAAAGGATTTTTTCACCAGTGGCGGACTTGTTGGACTGTGCAAACACAGCCTGTCTCTTTCATTCCTTCATCCATCCTCTTGAAAAAGTCAGTGTTGCAAAATTTGTGCATATACAAAAACCTATAGATATCTAAGTCTTTCATAATGTCTAAAAGTAGGTGTATTTCTCCTACTGACCAGAAATGTGGGCTTTTCTTTTGAACAGGCATCTCTACCCAAGCCCTACCCCAGCTAGTTGGCTTGTGTACAAGGCATCCATGACAACACACAGAGCTGAGCATAAACAGGTAAGAAGTCGTGTGTCACAAACTGCCGTAAAAAAAACCCAATTAAGATGCAAATCCCAAATGCTCTGTATACATGTCCAAAGAATGCTCCTAAAACCTAAATAATATCCGCATATCCCATGTCTTAATTGTATAATGCCACATTTGGAAACAGGCCTAATTCAGAATATGCTGTATATATTATCTGCATCAAATTCAGAATGTTGTCATATTGGAATTGAAGGGGGAATATATGTGTGCATGTTTATGTAGTCACTGACGACATCAGCCGTCGTCAGTGTACAAATAGGGACCTGACTGTTGTTTAAAGACAGATTTTAAAAACTGTGTACCTAAGATACAAAAGATTCATGCCGGCAACAACTGGCACAGCTGTACACTCCCACCTTTATTCCCCATGTGACATGTGTGTTACATTCAGATATAAATTGACCTTAATATTTAAGGTCACTATTAAAATGGTATTTTGCTTTTCAGGTCTCATGGACACCTTTTTTGACTTGGGCAGTATTTAGACATGTTATTATCTTAAAGCCCCTTATGGGGATTGAGGTGTAAAACAACATCATGTCAACATCAAAGTGTTAAATATGGTCATTAACATACTGTATCAATACAACAAACAACAGCTGAGTACCACAAGTTATACACCCTTTATTAAGAATAAATATATATGTAAGTACATCACCCAGTGTGACCAGTCTGTGTTAAAGTTACATTGAGAATGAAAACTCTAAACCTCAACATACTGATATTCTCACAGATGTATGTGTTTGTGGTGTGTGTCACGAGATGAAGAAAATATTCTTCATCCAGTCAAATGAAACAGGATCTTACTCCAACAGTGTTTATGGCCAAGTGCACAAAACAGAGAAAAGCAGCAGATTACCTGGTCAGTTAATCTGTTGCAGGCTGAGTGACTGAATATTATTATTGTTATCTAAATGTTATGGTTATCTGCTTTTATGTGAAGCACTTTGAGTTGTATTTTATGCATGGATGGTGCAATATAAATAAAGTTTATCATTATTATTAATATACCATGCTCTACATTCCCTCATACTGAAGTGCTCTCCAAACAGAGCTAGATGAAGTGGACTTTTCCTGTGGCAGCATCACCTGCGGATGTAGTTCTTTTGAAATGAGTTGGGGTATGTTTTCTGGGCACGGGAGCAGGAGGCGCAGCAGACACTTCTGTAGTAAGGGTAAACACAGAGTCGGGCTTGAACCACCACCACACAGTTATGATACTGGTCGCTACACGATGGATCTGTGAAGGAAAGGAAATTTCTTCTATTAAGTGTTATTGACTACAGGCTTCTGCTCTGAGCCAACAGTAGGCTTGTGCGTCATGTCTTGGTGGAAGTGTTGGTGCTAATTCACCAAGCTGTCAAGTTAGTCAGTACTCAAACCCAAAGTCACTAAAGTCATACTGAATTAGTCTCATGGACTCAGAACTCAAGTCATAACTAAAGGTAAGTTATCAATGTAAAACAAATTTCATGTTTCATGATGCATACAAATTCACATCTGTCATAATAAAAGCTAGGCACTGGTTGTAGTGACACAAGTCTTCTGTGAAATACATGATTTAGATTTCTCATCGCAGTCAAGTTTCTATTATAGTTTACAACCATGTCCGCGAAAACATGGATGCTACACCCACTGTCCCCCTGGCAGCACAGAAGATCTATACAGTCAGCACAGTTTCAAGGTGAACACCCAAGATTAGTTTCACCAATTCAGTATCTGACCAAATGTCTCTCCTTCTGTTCCTGAGATATGACACTGAATAATGACCAGAAAAGTGTTTTATGCAAAACATTAGGATGTCACAGTGAAGCTGACCTTTGACCTTTTGGATATAAAATGTCATCACTTCATCTTTTTATCCTGTTAGATATTTGGGTGAAGTTTTGTCTTATTTAATATGAATTCTTGAGTTACGATCACAAACATATTTTGTAAGGTCACACTGACCTTGACCTTTAATTTGACCACACAATTCTCATCACTTTATTTTTCAGTCCAAGTGAATGTTTGTGTCAAATTTAAAGAAATTCCCTTAAGGTGTTCTTGACATATCACGTTCACAAAACTGAGACAGACAAGGTCACTGTTACCTTGACCTTTGACCATCAAAATCCAATGAGTTTATTGTTGAGTCCAAGTTAACATTTGTGTCAAATTTGAAGAAATTCCCTCAGTGTTCTTAAGATACTGCATTCACAAAAATGAGACAGACAACGTCACAGTGACCTTGACCTTTGACCCTTGACCATCAAAATCTGATCAGATCATCTTCAAGTTCAAGTCAACCTTTGTGCCAAATTTAAAGAAATTCCCTCAAGGCGTTCTTGAGATATCACATTCATGAGAATGAGACAGACAAGGTCACAGTGACCTTGTACTTTGACCTATGACTGCCAAAAACAATCACTTTATCAGTGAGTCCAAATGGACGTTTGTGCCAAATTTGAAGAAATTCTCTTGAGACGTTGTTGAAATATTGTGTTCACAAGGATGGGACAGACAGACGGACGGATGGACAACTTGAAAACATAATGCCTCCAGCCATGGCTATCACCAGTGCAGAGGTATAAAAATTAGATCACATGTGTCTGCATCATGTACCACTGCCTATTTGATTAATGATTAATGATGAAAATGATTAACACCAAACATCAGAAGCAACTTGACCAAATGAATCAAATGTTCTTGCTCATGTCTTTTTAGCCAATGAAATGTCACTTACTGATCTGTTTGAGAATGGTTTTGGCAAACATGCTTCATTTTGACAGGGAGGTTCCTTCATATATGAGTCATCAAAAAAACATCATCCTTCCTCCCTGGTTCCTAACAACCCCTCAATTCTTCCTGGTTGAGGCAGTAGAGGCCCCAGATGATCATGGTAACATTATCAACAATGACAGCATCACAGAGAAATCTCAAACAGGTCCTCTCTGACCCTTGGGTGTCTTCTAACCCAACTGCACCTATAGCAGATATACCGCAATAATACAATAGTGTTTGGCAGACTTACTGATCTCAGCGACACAAGCTTGTTTGTTGCATTCCTCTCGGCTCTCTGGGATCAAACTGGGGTCACAGCGGTCGCTTGGGGTGATGTTATCAGCAAGACAACGCACCTCACGCACACGGTAGCCACCACTGCAGATGCGCGAGCACTGAGGAGATGAAAAATGAGTAAACAGAGGCAGAGATGAGGAGTCACACGAACAGTATAGTATATATGATTTAAACTGAGGACTGAATGTGGACACCATCTAGTCATCACAACTCATGCCACACTTGCTCTAAGATAAAAAAAAAATACCAAAACCAGGTGGACATCTTTAAAGGATTAATTACCCAAATTACAAAAAATAAAATAAAAAAAATCTTGTATCTTTCTGGTGTTATCTGGGCATATTAGTAGTGACAGTTTTATGTGTTGAGATTTTGAGATATCCAGAAATGATGTCCCAGTTACTAATGGTAATCCTCACACATCGCTGAGCACAGGTTTCACTAAAACTATTTATAATCAAGATATAGACACTATGAAATTGTTCAGGTCATGATCTGTGTGGATTATCCAGATGATTTGATAATGCTTTGACAAAACAATCCCAACTCAAGGTCCCCTTTCAACCGTATTAGTCTTCATTAGCAGATGGGGTTTGACACTGTATGTTACAACCAAATAACAACTGTGATTTCTTTATGTCAGATACTATATGAAGGGTTAAAGGTAAACCACCACCTTCTATGTGGATATCCAGTCAGTGTTGATGGTAACAGTAGTTGATTGAAATCAATTCCTCACTGCGTGCTATATCAACCAAGAAAGCTGAGTTCGCAGCTGCAAAATCTGTTGTTCTTTCTGCATACAGCGGCATCATTTGATATGACAGGGATGGCCAAACTCAAGTATGACACTGAATGTGTTAAACTGTGGACCTTGAACTAATGACTAAGGAGAAATCTGGACCCCATGGCTGGACCAGCTGGGGATCACTGCTCTAGAGGCTGCTAAAAAAGAGAACGTCCTTGCTTTCTTTGCGTGTATTGCAAACTAGCTGCGTTTAAGCAAAAAATGTCATCCCAAAATGTGAGTGCTGAGGATGTTACAGACGATGATACATTTTACAGTGTTTTGGCTGGCTCAAATATCAGCCGTCTTTATTTGAGCCAAAGTCTAAGGCTGATGAAATGCAGTGGAGAGAAGCCGAGGCTGCGGCTGCAAGAGGATATTGCTGGCGGGGACCCTCCAGGACCTGAGCTTCCGAGAGCAAACACAGAACAAATTGCTCTCCGATGCCAACAGAAACTGAATCATCCTGCTGCAACACACTGTAATGTAGGCAGTTTTTGTTGGATGCTATCGCCAACGCCAACCTCGAGAGAGCCCTTGGGTGTGTTACATTACATGCATGAAAGTTTTACTCCTCATTTGGACGAAGGTTTGCTAGAGACCTTCTTCAGGATCCTAAAGATAAACTGAAAAAGACAACCAAGTCAAACTATGTTTTGACCAACAAGGTAATAGTTTGAAGCTAGTAGGTTACTATTAGCTATGGGGCATCAGAGGCACACGGGTAATGCATGCTGGTACATGTAGGCACTCCTGACAGGGCTCTGTGAGCAGGAAGACTCATACTGTCAGTATAGTAATATAGCATGGATTGATTATCTACATAAAAGGAAGCAAATTTTCCCGTTACATGTTGCATGGTGGAATGACAGACTTTGGGACACTTACTGCACTCCACTCTGTGACGTACCACTGGACACCACATGGCTTCAGTCTGCAGGGCTGAGATGTGATTGGCTGAGGGAGACTGGAACATTTTAACTGGTCCACAGCCTCCATACGGCCATCGTTGTTGAGAATACAAGCCACACTCCGGGTCTGTGTGCCATTCCCACACTCTGCAGAACACTTAGCACACACACAAGGTGAAACTTCAAATGGATGATGCTTTTGCAGTGTGTTTGTGTGTATGTGTGCATGGAAATTACCTGACTCCAGGGTCCGGTAAACCACTCCAGGCGGTTGTCACAGGGGCCTGAGTCACACAGTGTCACTTCTGAGGGGCGTTCCTCTTCACAGCTGTCCAATGGGAGATCAGTCACATGATCTATCAGACATACTGCCATCCGGGTTCGATTGCCTTGACCACACTCTGCAGAGCACTGAGGAATATTACACACATGTATACAAGATTTTTACCCATGTCACTTTTTGGGAAATTACATTGACTTACATAACTTCCTTGAACACTTAACCTTACTCTAACCATAACCATTGCATAAACACTGACTCAAAGATGAACTTATTCTGAATTGGGGGGACATGGCTTTTGTCCTCAATTAGACAAGCTGTCCCCATTGAACTTGTGTCTACCGTGTAACTTAAGTAATACACATACACACAAACACACACTAACAGTTTCTGTGTTACCCGTTGGCTCCAGACGGAGGTGAACCAGCTGCGTGCACAGGCTCCCATGTCACAGTTCTGTAGTGTGTCTGGCTTTAGGTTCATGTTGCACTCCTTATCCTCCTCCACATCACCCTGGTTGCTCACACACACCACCTCCCTGCTGCGCTGGCCCACTCCACATGGCACTGAGCACTGAGAGACAGAAGGTGGGAGAGAGGGTTGGGGGGAACAGAGAAAGTAATGTTTGGGGTTTTTTGTAATTATAAAGATGTACAGGTTTATTGTATTTAGTGATAATGTGTTTGAATAATAATGGTTGCATTATTTTTTAGATTAAATTGTGTGTGTTATATGTATCTTTCTGAATGCCTGTTAATGACTGACATGTATAACTTATGTATTGACACAAAACCGTTAGTTATAAAAATCTGGCCAAAGTTTCAAATAATAAGGTATAGAGGTAATCCCTGTGAGCAAAATCCTCAGGCTTCAGACCATTCCGAATACTCTGTTTTCAATGGTTCAGCCTGTGACGGATTTATTTATATGATCATCTGCTCCATGCACATTACTGCAAGTGTTTATATCATGTGCACTGCTACATGTAGCTATGTGCTAAGATCAGGGAAACCTGTAATTTTGGTTGCTGTTGTCTTGTTGTAAATTCCTTCCAAATTTCGGATCAGATTCCTGTTGGAACATGTGTGGCTGTCTTTAAAAGCTTTTATTGGTGATTTTTAACAGGAGAAAGTGCCGCCATACACAGTCATTCCCCGACTGCAAGTACATTGCTACATGTAGCTATATGCTAATGTCAGGGAGACATGTAATGTTGCTGATGTTGTTTATTACTCCCCAGTTTTGGATTATATTCCTGCTGGAGCATATCTGGTTGTGTTTAGAAGCTTTTAATGGAGATTCTTCGCGGTAGACTCAGACACATGTTACAGTCATTCCCCAGGCTGCGATGAAAGCCCCCAGGAACAGACGGGAACAGCTTTAATGCCAATTTTCGTTGTGGCCAAAACTGGAGTTGAACCATCATGTAATGCCATGGGGCCCAAAAAGACTTTTTTTCATTGACTTACATTGGGAAAGAGATGCCTGTAAATCAGTGGATACATTTTTTTGAGCGTCAAACCTCCCCGCAATATGACCAGTTTCACTACCTGGAGTTCCATTTAGTCCAATAACATTTGGGATGTCTACAAGAGCCACAACATTAAATCATTTTATCCCCATTCAAATTAACGGAGTGCTAAACCTGAAGTAGTCGTTTGGCTGGGAGAAGTTAGCCGCTCAGCTGCACTCGGCTAATGCAAGTCTCTCGTGCACGTGTTCTATGGGCCCAATAATGTGGAAGATCATATAATTTCATAGTGAGGAAACAGAACAATCTTGGCTTCATGTGCAACTAAGCAACTTTCATAGGAATGAACGGGGCTACACGCCCAATGTATCCTGCTGTATCCATGTTTCTTCATACGTCCATGCGGGGGTGACAGTGCAAAGGTGACAAGATATGGAAGACCAGGAATCACCGACCAGTCAGAGTAGACCGGGCTTTTTTTAGGAGGAGGGCTTAAAGAGACAGGTGCTAAGTGTCTCAGACACAGTGTGACTACAAGTGTTCCAGCACATACAGTGTGAGAAAAATAAAATGTTTTTTTTATATATAAAAGCATATAAACATGTTCTAGCAGAAACCCAAAATACAAGTATACACCTGAAAATTAGTATTATAGGTCCCCTTAAATTACATTTCCCTAATAATATGTATGTACTTTTACAATACAGTAAAACAGTAAAATCTGGAATGCAGGGCTATTTTTTTTACATTGTGGTATTACTCCTTTTACTTAAGCCAATGATCTAAAGACAGTACTGTTATCAAAATATGTTTATTAGTAGAGTCATGTAATACTGAGGTGTGTAAGTTTGTTCTCACCGGGCTCCATTCAGATCGGATCTCCCACTGGCTGCAAATCTTTAGCTGACATATAGCTTTGGTCACCGGCCTATCGTGCGACCCACACAGCTCTTGTGCCACGGTAACCGAGGTCTCAGTCCCATTGGTGTGAACATGAGTGACGTGGCGGCAGATGACCTGGCGGTGCTGAGTGCCAGGTCCACACCTCCTGCTGCACTCTGACCACTCCCCCACATCCCAGCTGTCAGCCAATCACAAAGAATAAAGAAAGAGTTAGAGGAAATAAAAAGCAGTTCACAGTCCATCACAAAAGATGTGGTTACATATTGAGACATGAGTTTAACAATGACCTTTCTCAAGCAGAGCCTGGCCCAGCTCTATGTCCTCATTTTGACCACAGTTATTATGTGTGGTCAGTTGACCCTGGTCTGCAAGGGGCGTTATAAAGCCTGTCGTTTCCTCCAAAAGGATATTATAAACTAGACAAGCAAAATAAGCCAATTTGTGCAGCACAAGTTCAGATGTTTCTTCTCATTCTATTAAGTTTCAATTTTGCAATCCTGTGCTGCTGCTGTGTTCCCAGTGGAAACATATATATTTCAGACTGACAGCTATCATGGATCACTGACACTGCAGGCGAAATAGCTGACAGGGCCACAACCAAACATACACTTAATCCACTAACACCCCGCTACATCTTGGCGACAGTAAGATCTAGTGGTATTTACCACAAGACATGCAAACCAAAGCCACACCAAAGTGAGTCAGTGTGATTAGCTTTGACTAGTGACTGATTTACGGCTTAAATGTGTGTGAGTGATGAAGGCTTCTCCCCGACAGTCACAGCACCATGTGGAACTAATACAATGGAAGTGCATGTGAGTCTGTGTACGTGTCATAACTATGGTAAATAAATCAGGTGTGTGTGTGTGTGTGTGTGTGTGTGTGTGTGTGTGTGTTGCTCACTATGCAGGACAAGACTGGGTGTTGCAGTCTTCTTCCCGGTTTGTTGGTTCAAGAGCAGGGTCACAGAGGTCAGCAGGAACAGTCGCCTGGGAATCTTCCTCAACGCACTCCCAGAATACCTGACGCCTGCCTGGCAAGTGCACAGACACGCAGACAAGACAACAAAAAGACGCAGCATGTGAATGTGTGTTTGAATGCATAAAATATGATTGTCATACACGTACATGTTTTCATCCATAGCAATGATTTACGAGGCCCATGTACTTTGCCAGCAATCGCAGCCCTTTGGGTGTGTGACAGCTACTGTTGATAGCTAAAGCTTTCAGTGACATTTATGTGTGTCATCTCTGATTTTGTAACATTTTATTATTATTTATATGTGTTTCCCAAAGAGCTCGGGCCTTTTTGCATTGGCAAAATTTAAAGTAAGGCTGCCTGCTCACTAAGTTAATGCCCCAAATCATTATTTTACACAAAAAAGAGCTCCATAAAGAGCTGAAAAAGCATTGATTTAATGTGTGGTCACTCTTTCTTTGAATTATATGTGTTTCCTCACCAGTACCACAGGTCGCGCTGCACTCTGTGTGCCTCCTCTTTGTCCAGGTGTAGGTGGGCTGAGGGTCAGATTTCTTGCTGGGGTCAGAGGGAACCTGGTTAGGGTGGGGTTTCTCTTTGGTGATATCATTGTTGGTGGTGCCACCTTGGTGGTCCTTCTCACCAGAGTGGGATGGGCCAACTGTCTCAACTACAAGAGAGATGAAGGTTGAATGATGGAGCCCAAATTTGAAGGGTAAGTAAAGGGCGAAAGTAATCTAAAATGTTGGATAGATAAAGGCAAACTGAAGCCTGAAATAAAATATAGTCGTGTTAAAGGGACAGTTCACCCTAAAATCAGAAATACATATTTTGGTATGAGTAGCGGAGTGTTTGTGATATCGGCAATGGAGATGTCTGTCTTGTCTCCAATATAATGGAACTAGATGGCACTCAGAAACTCATTTGTAAAACTCAACAGCAATGTCTCTTTCCAGAAATCATGACCTGGTTACTCAAGATAATCCACAGACCTTGCTGTGAGCAGTTTCATGTTGGAACTATTTCCTATCAAACTACACCCGCCAATGAAGCTTTCTTTATGCTATATCCATTCACAGTTCTCTGTCCATCCCACTCTCACGGCTTCCTCCAATCAGCTGACTATGGGCGTTCCCTCTCCTGGTTAGCCTATCAGACTCTGCCATGATCTCCTTCAGCCATTCATGTTGCTACTGACAAACTTAAAATCTTATCTCCTCTCTGCTCCTGTCAGTTGTCATTTTAGGCAGAATCATTGCACCATCCTCCACCCCATTCACCTCCAGTCACCTTATCCAGAACCCAGAACAAGCTCATCAAAAGCCCACTCCTCCTCACATCCAGATCCTCAGCTCCTCTTCATCTCATCTCATCACCACCATTACCACCACCAGCGTCTGGACTCCATAGAGGAGCTCCCTGATCTACTACGTCTTTACCACCCTCCTGGAATGGATGACATCACGATGGGGTCCAATCACCAAACACTGTTGTTATTTCTCATATTTATGTGCACATGTAAATAAATATTCTTTTCTCCCAGAACAAGTCTCTCCTGACTGAAACAGTATCATCACACAGAAAGAAGCATGCATCAGAGCTAACGCTACAGCTCAGCCAAGAGAGATGCCATTAATATTTCCATCTTGCACTGTCACGTGCACAAGCCTCTCATCCATGAGTAGATGCATGCTTCGCTTTGCGCTGTGATTCTGTTGGCAGGTGTAGTTTGGTGTAAGTCCTTCATGAATCCGCTCACAACAAGGTCTGTGGACTATCTTGGGTAACTGGATCATGATTTCTGGAAAGAGACATCACAGTTTTAAAAGATTTTTTTTTGGCTCTTTGAGCACCACGAGCCATGTGCCAACTAGTTCCATCATACTGGAGAGAAGGCAGATATCTCTACGGCTGATGTTTCCAACACTTGTCAACTCATCCCAAAACAATCTAGATTGATAAATAGCACTACAGGTAAGAGGGAAAATATGCATGTTTGATTTTGGGGTGAACTCTAACTTTAAAGGCCCTGCACATCTATGGCTTCGCTAACAAGTGTAGTGAATGCATCTATTAAATGGGATGCATTGCACTGTCACTGTGGATTGTTATCAAAAAGATTTTGAATTTTTGAGGCATTATATAGTGCATAAATTATTCAAACTTTGGTCAGTCAAAAAGTCAATATAAAGCACTACACACCAAGTACTGTTGGGAGTGATTTTGGACATAGAGTGTGGTGGCCTCTGGTAATTCCCAGTATTTCTCCACCCACCTTCGACCTAAGCAGGGGTCAGATCAGCTGCATTAATTACAAACACCTGTGCAGGGCCTTTAAGAAGATTTGTCGTTTTCTGAGTTCAGGAAATCTCTGATTAAATTATTTATCAGCACCAACACAAACAAATCAAGCTATTTCTTTAATCTCTTTAATGAAGGTTAAATATTAGGTAATGAAATGAAATCTGGCCCAAGTGACCGATTATTGTCTCAGTGTGCGGTTAGGAGCTCTTCGCCAGACCAAAGTTTGGCTTCCTGCCTGTATCAAATGTTATCAAAATCCTAATCCAATTTTCAAAAGGACAATTTTGCTGAAAATGATACATATTGGCGTTACCATGAAATCTGAACTCAACACACACACGCACACACACACACACACTGTACTGTACATGCAGACAAAAAAAAGAGGCATCTGTTATGTGTTATGGTCACTGAGGGCAAATCAGAGTATTAATCATGAGAAAATGGCACTGTGGTCATTTAGGGTCACACTAATATTTTTGTGTGTGTTGTTTATGCGTGTTAGTGTGTGCACACTCACCCAGGGGCAGAATATCAGAAGGTGTACCTGGCTCAGGAGTTGGGTGTGTGTTTCGTAAAGGGACAGTGTATTCATAGTATACACTGGGACCTGGTTGTTGGTAGATCAACTGTGAGAAAGACAGAGGGGTATTTGGTTTATGATTGACATATGGTACTGTAAAAAAAGTAGTATTACTTGTATAAATTTTTTTCATTATTTTTCTATTTTATTCATTCATTGTCTTTTGAATGCAGTTTTAATGTTTTGTGAATGTATTATGTTTAATGTATTTCCATGTCCCTGTAAAGCACTTCATATTGCCTTGTGTCTGAATGATCCTATATAAATAAACTGGCCTTGCCTTACAGTGATTGGGCTTTTGTATAGTGGGCTGCTCCCATTAGGCCTCTAACATGATTAGATCCATGAGCCGTGCAAACCAGTGGATATTGTTCTTACCACCAGGCACATCCCCGCCATTTGCAATCAGCATACTGCAATGCCCCCATTTCTCAATATGAGGAAATACATCAGCCTAGAGGTGTTGAAGAAGAAGTTTCTACACACATATTAATGAATGTCTTGGCAGTCGGAAAAGGCTGATAAGCAGTGGTGTAATGTAACAAAGTAAAAATTATTTGTCACTTTCCATCACTACATTTCCTAAATTAAATTTATACTTTTACTCCGAAACATTTCAATGTATCGGCGTAAAAGTACATTACTCCAGTTTTACTCCAATACCTATGTATTTCTATTACCCAAGCGTTTTGCTTTGTTAGTACAGTTAATATTAGATAGTTCAAGACTTTTACCCAAGTAATATTCTAGCAAAAGTCTTTTTCTGGTAAGATATCTGTACTTTTACACAAGTATGGCTTTCAGGTACTTCATCCACTACAGCTGATTCCATTCCTCACTCAAACATGCTATGTTAGTCTTTGAAGATGGGCTCTGTCCTAAAGAGAACAGGCTGCAACATCGTTCAACAAGGCTATATATGCCATTTAACAGCTGCTTGGTGGTAGATCTGAATCGGTTAGATACTCTGCATAGGCTACCAGTTAACATTGGCTACATATGTGCAATTTCATGGTGCTAGAAATTGATAGGAGTTACCAATCATAATAGGTCAAGGTCATAAGTCAATAAAAACAATGACAACCATAACTGTAAGATTTCAATAAAGACGTCTCTATAAACACAGCTGTAAGCTAGGACTGGGACACTCATTTTTTTATAGTTGAATATTTTAATTTTGACAATAATTGATGAGACTAAAGAGCTACACAGACTCTTTCACAGTAGCATGTACTGTAGTTGCTGCCAGCTTTACTGTGTGTATATTGAGTTATTGAGATAGTGATAATGCAATATATGCAGGGTTTGGAAGCGCAGGCTGTTAACTGGTACTGTGTTAATTAACTGGATTGTTTTAACGACAGAATGCATTGATTTGGTTGATTTATTTTAATATAAAATGTAAAAGCACACAGTGTTGCTCTGCAGCTTCACATTGCCTCTAGTACAAGGTATTCATCTGAATCCTTTTTAAATAGGGTGTCTCGGCATGGTTAGCATTGTTGCCTCACAACAAGAGGGTGGGGGAGCCCTTCTGTGCAAAGTTTGCATGTTCTCCCCGTGTCAGCGTGGGTTTTCTCCGGGTACTCCGGCTTCCACCCACAGTCCAAAGACATGCAGGTTGGGCTAATTGGTGACTGTAAATTGTCCGTAGGTGTGAATGTGAGTGTGAATGGTTGTCTGTCTCTGTATGTCCCTGTGATAGTCTGGCGACCTGTCCTGGGTGTACCCCGCCTCTAACCCAATGTCAGCTGGGATAGACTCCAGCCCTCCCATGAGCAGTTACGGAAAATGAATGAATGAATGAATGAATGAATGAATGAATGAATGTTTTTTAAACAGTTCTGTGTAGTTTTCACTACTGTCCTTTTCCGACATGCTTGGCACACAGGAAAAGTTTCAGTTCTGCAATCTCACCACTAGATGCCATTCAATTCTACACACTGGACCTTTAAAGCCTTTTTAAATGAAAGAGGCTTTAACATGCTATACATTTAGTGTGTACATTTAGTGAGTTTCAGAGTAAGAACAAATACAAGTAAAAATATACTGATGAATCCAGATATGTGTTAGACATGTATTCGCACAGTTTAAGTACAAATGTGTGAATGAGGCCTGTTGTGTGTGCCAGTTTGTGTCTCACATAAACATGCAGGTCCTCAGTCAGTGGCCCGGGTGCAGTGATAGACTCCCCATTGCGAGAGCGGATTTCATTGGGTCGTTGGTACGTCAGCTGTGTTCCCACAGCAGTGAAGATGCCCGGCCTGTCAATCACCCAGTTGCCATTGATGATGGAGACACTGCTTTGGGTCTGCAGAGCTGAAGGAAAACCCCATGTTCATCCATCACTCTAATGTTTGTCTGAAATTATTTCTGCTGATAGGTGTGTGTGTGTGTGTGTGTGTGTGTGTGTGTGTGCATGTACCCAGGTAATTTCGGCTTTTTATTGTCTCCCGTATGCTGATGTTACGCGCTCCTGCAGGAATCTCTGCAATCTTATGGTAGCCAATGCGAAGGAAAGTCCTAGAGAAATTCCCCTTCACCACATGAAAACCCTGCCAACAAACATTCACACACTTTTACACACACAGGTACAAACAATGCATGTGCCCACTCATGTACATCTGCAGATGCTTTCTGCACGCTCTCTCTATACCAGGCTTTCACCATCACTGGTATGAGTTTCAACAGTATAATCATAAATTCCGCTGGATCACATTGCTGCTCTTTTTCTCTCATTTTCACTCATCCATCCTGCTCTCCAGCTCGCTCCCTCTCTCTTGCTGGAAATCCCACAGCTCACTCAGCCCAGTCCAACAGTTGGTTTGAGTTGGGGAACCTTTCTGGTCTTGCTTTCCTCTCCTCTTTTGCACAAATCTCTGTTTTGCAAGTTAAGAGTTTAACTCTTGTGTTCTTTCCATGCCATGGGCCCCTTCGGTATACTTTAGTCACGACTTGATTTAGCTTGATCTGTTTGTGATTAGGTTAGCCTGAGTGACAAGGACAGAGATAATCTAAAACAAACCAGTGGTCTGTCATGCAGTTATTCCCCACTGCCTGATCTGATGAAGGATTTTAGTTGTAGAGTGCATAGGCACAAAAACTACAATAAGATAAAGTTAATTATATCAGGTACAGTTAATATTTCTTTCACAAAATAAAGGTATAACTCAGAAAAGTATGTATTTCATGTAAATAAAACACAAGTGCTACAAAGATTGCATAAACAATTGAATTACAACTTTTAACAAAATCCATGTTTGAATTACATTTATACTTTTTCCCATGACCATGTGGATGTCTTACCTCCAGAGGTGGTTTGCCGGCTTTGGTATCCCAGGGAAGAGCACCCAAAGGTGGGTAGAGAAGCCCGATAAGGTGGAGGAGAGCCAGAGCTCGACCCTGCCGCAGGGAGCCGAGCTGCTGCCACAATCCAGCCATGGAGAGACTGAGGGAGGAGGACACTCACACAAACACACACACACATGCTTAATAGGGGTGTGTGTGTGTTTGTGAGGTAGGGTTGGCTTGAGGGGTGGGAGGGATGTTAAGGAGAAATGTTCAGAGAAAGTGTTTGGAAATTGTCGGCACATTTTTAAGAATTGTTGCAAGTTGAGGTCACACCCGTTTTGCACCTCAGTGTGAATGTTGTGACAGCTCATGATGTGTGTTTGTGGCATGATGACAGGCTCCTGTAGCGTATCCTGAAGCTTATCCCAAAAACAATATCTCTCCGTGTGAATCGTCATGCAGGATTGTGAGGCTTTGGACACACATCACTACTCTTGACCATGCTCGGATTACTCCACCCACTCCTTGTTTTCACTTTATAAGGCTTGTCTTGTTCAGAGTTCTTCTTTTTTTTTTGATGGAAAAAATGAAGGATGAAAAATCAAGAAATACCTCAGTGAGAATGGCTTGGATTGAGGTTAACAGAAAGAATATGTTAAATCTAATCACAGCTTAACATGTTCTGTGTGTGTGTAAAGAACACAACACATAAATAACGAAGTTGTGCTCTATAGTGATTCAGTATTCCTTCATCAGTGATTCACATTCAGAGGATGCCAATTTTATAGTGACTCAGTTCACTGCCATACTATGTCGGGGAACAATCAGACTCAGAAATGACTGTAAATCCACTGGCCGGGACTCAAAACCCCACAGTGACACACTTCCAATGTCTTCATCTAGAGAGGTTATGGTAATATTTGCATGGACATAAATGATTTGGAGGAGTTCAAACACATATGGGTACAATATATTCCCTTGGCTGAATGTTTCTGCTCTGGGCAGAGGACCATTTTAGCCCTGTAAACACACAATGTAGCGTAGCTTGCCTGGCTCTTTAACTTTCCACTGTTTTATGTCAGGGAGTGAGGAGAGATGAAAGTTGTAAATATCAGAAACTACTTTAAATGTCAACCCTCACTTAGTGTTGCAGTGTGGAGAAATTTAGAGGGATGGAGCAGAGATAATGTGTTTTTCCTACCTGTTTTGTGTGGAGCGGCAGAAACACAACATTTCACATCTAAAAAAAGCATTTTTTTCCTGTAGATTGCCAGCTGATCGACACCACAGCTGTTCACAACATGGGTGTGAAATTGCCAAGGCTGAGAATTTCACAACTTTTCTACGAACCTCAGTTTCTTTCGGATTGTGTGTGCGCTTGTGTAGGTGCATATGTTTGTGTGTGTGTACCCCTGCAAAGATATATGAGTCACATATGTGTGGATAAAGCGATGCGATGCCCGTAATACATGGTGAATCAATCGGGTCACCGTGAAAGCAGCATGAGTGAGAAAGACATGCAGACTGTGATCTTGCAAAGCTCTGTGAAGTCTCATAAGGACACTGGAAGCAGTGGAGATGATGCCAGTGTATCGTTTCTTCTGTCTGCATCCATCTCTCTGTGTGAGTGTTTGGCACTATGCCCTTTGACCTGAGACTGATGTCCTGCAGTGCAAACCATTAGCATTACTACCATAGCATTAACCTACACTTTTAGATATAAGGGTTCCCAAAGGATTCTTCTTGAAGGACTGAAATTCCACCCAGAGCTGTTTGCTTTTGATGAACCCTTTTTTGGAAGAAAAGGTTCTTCAATGATTGTTGAAAGCATGGGTATTAAAAATCCTCACCCTTAAATATTTAAATATAGACCCATGTTTGATATTGGAATTTTTAAATGTAGATATATCTGTAATTGCCTTAATCACTTAATTTTACCTGTGTTCTACTGTAGTTGATACCTTTACCATCAGTTTATGCCTTACAATATCATAATAGCATTTTGTATTAGATTCTAATCTGAAACTGAGTTTCGGCTCCCAACCCTACTGCAACGTTGAATTCACATAATCTCCATCCCCCAAAACGTGGCTGTGAACCACGATCGTTGTGGGTAGTACTGGGTCACATCAGCCCCGTCCCTTCAGGGGCCTCATGAAGCCGAACGCATCTCAACATGGGTTCCTTGGCCCCAGGGTAACCTGTCAAACTACAACTATGATTAGTGAAGACAGATCTATCGCTGATGTAGACAGTTACTGATTTTAGAGCCTCTTTGGGTAGGTTCTAGGGTGAAATTCTTGGAATATGAAAGGGTTCTTGGTAGAGCTCCTGGGTGGGTTATGTTAGCATCCTTAGAAGAGTTCTCTGTAGAACTTCTCATGAAGTGTTTTCAGACTGAAGGAACTTCTTCATAGTTCTAGGAATCTAGTACTAAGATGCCCCCTTTCTGCTGTGTCTGCACCGCAAGACTGTAGTTCTGAGAATACAGTTCTGAGAGACTTTTTTAGCTCCCTGTTCGGGTTATTCAGAGTGATGTCAATGTATGGTTATTGGTCCAGACGTAAGTGTGCATTGATTGGCCGAACACAGTCAGTGCAGCACTGGTAACCACCATTTTTTAAAACCCATTAGCCATATAAATAACAGACACACAAAACACAACCAAAAGCTTGTAACGAAAAAAAAGAAGAAGAAGAAAACAAGGACAAATGGACCAACAGCGAAGTCCAGGCTTTACTGAACATAAATGCAACAGAAAATACAGGAAATACAATGCAATTTTATATCATCAAAGTCAGAGTGATGTTGCTATACCAACCACCACCCGGCTTATAGTATGTCACTTCAGCTTTCCTTTTAGTGGTGTGAACTCAAACAGAAAATAAAGCCCTTGAAGTTATGTAGTTCTCAGAAGAACTGTGGGTACTTCCTCTCAGGGTGTCCCCAGAAACAATTGGTCTGAAAACATCTATAGAGGTTTCTGGGTGGAATCTTTCACAGATTGTTCTAGATATAACTCTTTATGCTGGGTTCTGAGTTGAACCCTCCAAAAGGGCTCCAGGTGTAACCTTTGTAAAACGGTTTTACCAGAAAACAAACAAGGTTCTCCTATTGGGACAAGCTGAAGAACCATGGTTAGCACCTTTATTTCTAAATGTACACACACATACATGCTGTACATCTAAACACATTAACCATACATGCTTTTATTTTTTCTCTCTCCTCCTCTCTGACACACAGCCAGATCTAAGACGCCGGTCCCCTGCAGTGAATACCCAGCAGTCACTGAGCTATGACACAGGCATTCTGGGAACCTCCAAAAGTCTGTCAGGGAATACTGGGAATTCTGTCCAAGATGGGCACTGTTAGGGCTACAATGTTTGTTTTCCACCGTGACAGCTTAATAGCTGCCATGTCTGATTACACACACACACACACACACACACACACACACACTTGGAGTCTCTGAGAGAGGCTGGAAGTCGCACGACAGCTCTTTAACACACAGATCAGCTCAAACAGTGATTCATACTTATGGCTTTACATGTTTACAGGTTACTACAACAATATGTAAAGATGATGAGGTTGGCATCTTTTGCCGCTTTTGGTGCGATTACATTGAGGTTTAGCTAATGACACTGAGTGTGCCTGATTGCTATGATTCAGTAGTGAAGCTTATATGGAACTTAACTGGCAGACCCTCACGCAAACGCAGGCTGGCCATGGCTCTGGAAGGCCTGCGACGTCTGTTAAAACCATTGACTGTAACAGAGCTTGCCCTCAAAAGCATTACAACCATTTATGTTTTTTTAATTCATGACAGAAAAAAAAAAGTTTCTCCTGAGTTTCATCTTATAAAAGGACCCAGAGGGGGGGGGAACACCCACTGGCCCACAGTATGTTGCAGAACATTGGAAATATGTTTAAATGTGCAGTAAAATTGTGAGCTCATGCAGATTTGGGAATGAAAGAGCCCGCACTGATAGATTTGTAAAACAGTTCTGATTTTTTTGTCTACTGCTTTCCCCAGAATCAAACATATGTGACTATTTAAAATATGTTTTAGTCAGTGTTTCTCTGTATTGTCTGTAATTCAATGATAGCTGGCCACATGTACCACAAAAATACAAGAAGAAAAGAAGACAAAATGGTAAAAGACACTGAGAATGAACAATACAGTCAACAGAAATTAAACTCAACACCAAGATTAATTTTTTATCCATTACATCATTTTAATATCTGATTTTCTTCAAATTTTTCTCTTCTCCATTTCCCCTTTTTCCTCGTCTTCCCCTGCTCTCCCTTCCCATTTCAATTTTCTTCCTCTCTCACACTAGCCTTCCCCTCTCTTTTCCTCCAGCTGTGGGTTGTTTGATGTCCCTCTGTCCCGTCCTGGCCAGCTGCCCCAGAAACCAAATGAGGGGTTCTGTCATCCCACTGACACCTGGACGCCCCCTAACCACCGGTTACTTCCCTAACAACCAATTCCTTCCCTAACGACCATGAGAAACACAGAGCGACCACAGATCAATCACTGAAATTCCTCTGCAGCTGTCTCAATTTTGGCTAAGTGTCAGGATGTAATAATTTTCACTCTATAAACATGTCTTTCTTACAGCTTACAGTCTAATGCATGACCGGGATGGCCTATTGCAAGACCTAAGAAGCATACTGTTCATTAGTTCAGAGCTGACCTGCCCCTAATTGATAAGAACAGGTGGACTAAGTTGTCCCTTTTCAATACATTTGATGTAGAAAGGTGACCAAGAAACTGTAACTGTGGCATTTACAGCCCAACAAGAAAACTGTGACAGTGAGAGTGGTTGTATAGTCATCACAGATGGCTGACAAAAAGGCAGGGGTCTGCTAAAATACATCATTTGCTCTCTGACCTCACCTCTCACCTTTTACTAATTACAGACTTGAGGCGTCTTGCAGGTGAAGGCACACACAGGCACACACACCATCTGACACCATAAATACAGGTCTCTGGTCAGCCACATGCCTGGCACAACAGTTTACACATTGCAACACACAGGATGCTTTCCATCCCACAGGTTGTATATACCTGCCCATGAATGCACATAAAGTTATGTTTGCAGGTAAACTTCACAGCTAACCACTATCTTTCGAAAAGGTGTCACCATCCACGTGCCACATAAATATTAGGTTTTGGAACTGTTTGTTTGGTTTGTCATTTCATTCTTAAACTCTGCAGGGACGCCAGTGTTCCCCGCCGACATTGCTGTCTTTAGGAGTTTTAAAGCAATTTTCCTGTTTTACTGCCTTAGGCCTTGAGTGATTCTTATATACAGTTGTAGAAATGTGTAGCCTATACACTGAATAAAAAAAAGTTTAATCATTTCATCAACTAAATGTGTGTCATACAGCCTATCGCCTTGTCCTTTAAATTTTGGGGTACCTCAATAGCAGTGGCTCGTCTTGGATCTCGCTAGCTGAGCTAGCTATGGATTGCAGAAAAACAGTCTTGCAGGACAGAGGATTTAACAGTGCATGGATATATTTATTCCTTTTACCACCAACTGTTCGAAGTTAAAGTATCAAACAATCATAAATAGCCCACTGTGGATCGCCAACTTGTTGTAACACATTAATAAATGCTCATTTAGACTTATTAGTAATGTTGATGGGTGAATTTAGACTTACTGTCATCTTCATTATAAGGCTCGAATGTGTTTTGCGGCTCCCGACAGATTATTTGAGAGCTTTTTTGGCCAAAAATGGCTCCTTTGATAGTTAACGTTGCTGACCCCTGTGCTAATCCCATGCATTTTTTGGGGCAAAAACCACGCAGTTTTTTGGCATGTAATACAAATGGTTTATTTTCGGTTATTATAATTGAATATTTCTGTATACTAGGTCCCAAAATAGTCTTGGAATTGCAAAAATTGAGTGATGTAGCTATTTCATTGAAGTGAGACCATTTTTTGGAACACATGAGTGTTTAAAATGACCTATTGTGACCTCTAAGATAATTACAGCTTAATGCAACTTTACAGCCACAAACTAAAGACCTTGGGCATTCAGGGGGTGTTTGGCTTTCACAGGTATAACAGAAGTGCTCACCATCCAACCACCAAAAAATGCAGTTCTTAAAGAAATTTCCAAATTCCAAAGGTTTTTGATTGAGGTGTTGTTGTTGATGATGAGGAGAAGTATGGTTGTTGTTGTTGTTGTTGTTGTTGTTGTTGTTGTTCTTTGTCTTTTATGAGCTGCTGAACAGCTCAATTTCCCTTCGGAAATGAGTAAAGTTCTTTCTATTCTATTCAAATCAAATCACAGCATGGACTCTCTGGTGTTCCTCTGGGTCTTGGTGTCTGAAGGTGGTACTTTGGAGGGATAGGATTTTTGACCATTTTTATCAACTCTGAAGTATTGCTTAAATTAAGCACCAAATCTGTGTGACAAATATATCAACCCCAAATATTGCTGCGACATCTTAGGAGACATAATTGAGCACAGGAATGGCTGTCATATACTTCCATCATAATGATCTAAGCCATTATACACTCTTTCAACCTTTGAATAGGTGCCTGAACAAAACACAATATTTATTACAGATTTATTACTAGAAAAACTTGATGCACAATGCTGCATCTTAAATGAATCTTAAGGTTCCCAGCTTTCAGATGATGTATACCACGTCTATGAGGCATAAACTGATGACCTGCTATCCCCCTGTGAATATCCCCTGTCACCCATGAAAAAAAAAAAATGTCTGTAGACCTTTTTCATAGACATTTTTACTTGTCATAGTCTGAAAAGCACAGGTGTATTTAATAACATTAATGATAGCTGCATTCCATTTCGGGGAGGTCCTGGTATTGTGCATGCTGGCTCACTGGAATCATTTACTGGCACTCTTAATGGAACTGAGCCATCGTTAGTATTATTAGTTTCACCTGTGACAAATAAAACTGTCTGCTGTGAAAAAACGTCCATTGTAAGGAGGGATAGAGCAGAAGAGGTCAATTAAGACCCTCAGTCTAACAATGCTGCATTGTGGGAGTACACAAGGGGTAATTTTATTCATACAGTGTGTATGGATGTGAGAAGATGAGTGTAATTAGGTAAAAATCCAACATAAAATGCATAGCATAACAGAGCCATTGTGCCCCCTCACTGAATGAATCAAGCATTCAGACCTGTGCTGTGCTGTTCGCTCAAATGAGCGTCAGAGCCCCAGAAATTAAACCTTGCTCACTTTGATCCTTCCCTCTTGTAGTGGTGTTAAACAACTGGCCACTTCACAGATTAAAAAACTGCTCTATTCTGACCAACATCAAAATGCTTCTTACACATTAACATATCAGTCCAATGAGTTCAATAATATGATACATATCAATATAACAGCAAGAGGGGTTATTCCACTTAAGGTCCACTTTTACTTTTGATACTTTATGAAAATTTTTATTTCAATAAAATAATGTATGACTCATACTTGTATTAGAGTATTTAAATATTGTTGTACTGGGTTGTAGTGAGGTACTGATCACTGACAGAAGAAGTCAGCAAGTGCTGCACAGTCCGATTTCATGTGCTTTTCTCTTTTATTCAGATGAGTTTCAGCCCAGCTCGTTATGGTTTTGGCCCTCAAGCCTTCTCTAAGATCAACTATCATGCTTAACTGTATCAAGGACTGCACCTTTATGGATCACATCTGCATTTGCTATGTCTGTCTTCTTTTTATTCGTTTTTCTCTCACCTTGCTATGAACTCTGTGTATGTAGCCTGCATCTGTCTGTAAAATCAGTTACCATTTTACTTGGTAAACCTGGCTAAAACTAATGCTGTCTGCCTTCAGAAAAGCTTATTAAGTTCTTTTGTTGATGAGAGAGGTGTATATTCAACTTTATGGTAATTTACAAAGAGGGTTCCATAAACCATAAACTACCGCCTCCAGAAGGACTATGTACTGTATGTAATTAAATCCCTTTTTCATTGCCGCAGTACTTCTGTTTACCACAAGAGTGCGCACGAAGCACAAACCGGAAGCCGGAAGTGGAGTCAACGTCAACGTGCGAAATTCAAACTTCTGTAACAAAACATCTCTGCTTGCCACAGGGTTTGTCTATGTGGCGTGTGGTTGCTCATTGATTTTACCTTCTTCTTCTCCCGTTTTCATTAAAATACAGGTAAATTATCAGGTAATATCGAGAGCGGTATTCAGCTAGCGTGTAGTGGCATATGTTAGGTTTTACTGGTGTTAGTTTTATTTCTGTAGCTAACGTTACAGTTTAAGTTAAGTGACGATAGCTAGCAGCTAGAAAATGTTAGCTACTAACTTAGTTTATTTTGAACACAAAGAAAGCTGTGTTTTTCCCGTTTAGTTGAGTGTCTTATTGAGTTGAGCGCTAACACTGCTGCTATAAACCGTTTTCTCTCACCGCAGGGAGGTTTATCATCGTGTGGCTGAAGCAGGGAGGATGCCTGTGGAAAGAACAGAGCAACGCGGAGCCGACGAGCTCTACAAATACTATGAGATTTACGAGACTATCGGCTCAGGTAATGACATTATTAATACATGTCAGTGAGTGAAAAAGCTCTGTCACTGCCATATCTCTCTGATGTGTGTTTATATACTTTGTGTTTGTCAGGAGGCTTTGCTAAAGTCAAGCTGGGTCGACACATCCTGACAGGAGAGAAGGTTGCCATTAAAATCATGAGCAAGAAGGATCTAGGGGTGAGTCAAGGAGACACTTTGCTTACTTAGGTTATTGTTGATCTGCTGTAAGTATTTGCATTGAACAGGAAAACCCAACAAAGCAAAAAAAAAAAAAAACATTAACTTGAAGAATATCATAAGCATTTTGATTTGAAAACAGTAGCATCAGATATGTTCATTATCAACAGCCAGTTTGTTCAGTAAAGCCTGTAAAATGTGTATAGTCTGTAAAAGTGTATCGACTGTAGTCGATAAAATGTAAAACCTATTACAAGTTTCAAAACCCTGAGGTGACGAGTGCAAAGTGTACAATGATGTTAAACAAAGGAAGCCATACAAATCCTAAATTTGAGAAGCTGTTCTGACTGACAATGTTTCACAAAATTGTCTGAGCTGATTTCTCGATAATCTGTCTATCTATGATAAATGTATGCAAAAGCACATTATGATGAAATTATGATTAATGCAATTAACTGTTGTACCATTGTTATATTACATCAAACAAAACTTTTTACAATAGTTAAAATGTGATGGGTTTACAAAAGTTAATATTTGGACAACAGAATTCTGTAAAATTATGACAGAATATTTTCATATAATCACAAAATGTGAACTGAAAGTTGATAAACAATATCAGATTGTTTCTCAGCCCTACCCAGAGCTACTCACCATCTTCAATAACCTTACCCTTTATTTTGTTCTTCATCCATTTACATGGATGCCCATGGTTGCTTATCTTAATGTGCATGAGCATGTGCATCATCATTTAAAAAAATGCAGCAATTCAAAAAGTACACAGAATAGATTAAAAATTATACATCAAAAACCAATAACAAACCATTCGTCACCCTAGGATGATCTGCCACGTGTGAAGGTGGAGATTGAGGCCATGAAGAACCTGAGTCATCAGCATGTCTGTCGTCTCTATCAGGTCATAGAAACCTCTACCCAGATCTTCATGGTGCTGGAGGTAAGCACACATACACAGAGACTGTGTGAGTGTGAATATGACATTGTCAGGGTTTCTATGCAGCATGGAAAAGTATGAAATTTGATTTTAGTAGTTTCCAGATAAGAATGGAAAAAGGAAACGAGTATAGAAAAATATTTGTTTCCAGAGTATTGCCCCTACTCTGTTTTCTAAAATATAAAATTCAGTTTATTTTTAGACATACAGCATTTCTGAAAATAAACTTATCGTTCAAGAAGAGTGTTTTTTTCATGGCGTTTGGAGCAGGCTGTGCAGCCAAAATGTTAACCACTGTGTGAGAGAGTGCAGCTAGGGCAAGCTTGATGTCATCAAAAGCAAGGCAAGAGATCTAGCATGTGACTCAATGTGCATTCCTATGCAGAGCATCCTCTACTCCTGCACGTCACACCCTACATAACAGCTCTGCCCTAAGAGCTTTATAACTGAGCCAGATCCAGACATCTGCGACCAAATGAGTTTGAAAGAAAATGTAGCAATATCTTTGAATTGTATAGTGCTGCATAGAGTTATGCAATGATGAAGTTATCAGAAAACTAAACACACCATACCTTTTTTTTTTTTTTTTACTCTTTTTTGGTTCCTTTTTATAAAAGAGTGAAAAATATGGGGAAACAATAATATTATATTTTTCATTCAATACGTAAGGGAAAGAAACCAAGCAAGTATAGGAAGCACCGGTTCATTCATTTCCTTTTTCGGGCAGAGATGTTTAGCAGTGGAATGTCTCAGGCCCAAGTCCCTGCGTAGGAGTATGGACTGAACAGATTGTTGATTATGAGCCATAAGGTTAAAATCTTCTGTCAATTATTCAGCAACATAATAGCATACATAGTCAGAATGGAACATACATGTTAACAGTTGAATTTTCAGAAACTTTAATTTACATCGAGCCATTTGTACTCCGATGTCAAATATGATAAATCTACCAAGAGGTCTGGAAATGGAATATTGAAATGAAAATGTGTAGGAACGCTGCTTTATGTTCAGTAATTTTGCATCTCTCTCTCTCTCTCCGTCCTTTCTTCTTCCTCTCAGTACTGTCCAGGTGGGGAGTTGTTTGACTACATCATAGCGAAGGATCGTCTGTCAGAGGAGGAGACCAGGGTGTTTTTCAGACAGATTGTGTCTGCGATGGCCTACGTCCACAGCCAGGGATATGCACACAGGGACCTCAAACCGGTAAACACAACCACTGATGTAAAAGAGTGACTGAGAGAACATGACACATTAAAGAAACTATAGCAATGTGTTCCTCCTTGCCTGTGACTGCATACTAATCTTAATGTCTGCTGCGATGATTGTCTCTCTGAACTGTAGGAAAACTTGTTGATTGATGAAGACCACAACTTGAAGCTCATAGACTTTGGATTGTGTGCCAAACCAAAGGTACATAATCATATCCCCTGTCTTGTTGTTTTAGCTTTAAATGTATTCAGCCTGTTAGCTGTTTGTTCAAGATTTTTTGGATGGAGGCAAATCTAATCGGTTGTTCCGACAAATATGTTTTATATTACACAACATTGTGTTTGGCCGTTCACAGTCTAGGTTGAAGCTGATGTCTATAGACAAGTGTTTACACAGTGATAATTGCCTATAAACATGATATGCGCATGTTGTTATTTCTTGCCTAGGGAGGTTTGGGTTATGAGCTGATGACGTGTTGTGGGAGCCCTGCGTATGCTGCTCCTGAACTCATCCAGGGAAAGGCATATATTGGTTCAGAGGTGAGAGATGCATGCTGTTTACAACTTTTAGAAACCACCAGGGCTGTGATTTCAAGATTTGCCCTTATTTAAACCTGCAAAACTTGCATTTGTTTTCCACTAAAAGTCGTGATTACCTGCCTGTTCCACAATTCTGCTTTTTCATGGTGCGCTGATCATATTCGCTGGTGCATGACTCAGTGCAACTGAGCTGTGAAATCCTAACTGTAAAGCTGAAATACTGCTGTGTGATGTGTAACCTCTAGGCTGATGTGTGGAGTATGGGAGTGCTGCTGTTCGCGCTGCTCTGTGGATATCTTCCCTTTGATGACGACAACTGCATGGTCCTCTACAGGAAGATTACAGTAAGAGCACAGACAGCAGTCTCAAAAACTCTGACAGAGCTGAACTAGTTGAAATTCAGAACTCAATGTAACAAAAAGTTTTGTTTTATTTTATTTATTGTTTTATTTATTATTTGACTTATGACAGAGATTGAATACTGGTGTTCCAGAATCGCTCTTAAATACCTTGTGTCCTTGTCCTGCAATTACTGAAGAATTGATCTCTAGTCTATGAAATATTGCCATTGCAAAAGCAAACAATTAATGCAAAACTCTTCAAACTCTTTAAAAAAAATCTGTTTTTGGATCAACACAGTACACACAAACCATCATTTGAATATGCATACCAAGCACCAACTACACTTGTAGCTTTTGCTTTTTCTGTGTGCAAGGCATATCAGTTTGCAAAAAAGTTGCCATACATGTAGGAAACACACATACACACAGGTATCCAAATGTGCTGAGTATGGATGTGTATTCCGAACATATCATACTATCAATACAATAAGGGGGAAAAGTAAAATTTTTTCTCTACATGTTGTAACACTCCTCAAACAACAAAAGCACAGTAGGATAAAAAAAATTTTGACTAAGTCTTGTGTTCTTTGTGTGTCGGGCCCCTCTGGCCATAGGATTTCATTCACATCACATACAGTGTTGTCTTGAGCAAGGTGGCACATCTGTCAATGTGGAAATGCACAGGGCAAATAGTGTAGTAATGTAGAGACCAGTATTTACAGTTTTGCAAAAAGTGTGTTATAAAAACTGACTAAAACAGAGAATGCACATTCAGTTTGGCACGCTTTGTAAATGCATTTGCTAAATGTGTTAATGGTTTCAGCAATAGTGTTTCAAGAATCACTATTAGTGTGTAAGCATTCAGAAAAAAATAATGTTTCATAACGTGTTTTTGTACGTTTTTTTTAATCTCCTTAGAGAGGTAAATATGATAACCCTCGATGGCTGTCTCCAGGTAGTGTCCTCCTCCTCAACCAGATGATGCAGGTACATAATCATAATAATAATCACACTCTCTCCCCTGTCTTCTGCTTTTTTGCTACTTTACGAAAAATTCACTCCTCGAGTCACCAGATTGCTTCTCACTGCACAACACTGGAACTCATAACCACATTAATTTGTCACAATAGAAGAGTAGAAGTAATTTTTTGAATTGATATAATTAGAATACCATTTTATTTATTTTTATAACACATACAACATTTTAGACATACTGTAGATGGATGTGTAGTCTTTTGAATATTGAGTTGTAGTTTTCGTGTGCATCCTGTAGGTGGACCCCAAGCTGCGTCTTACTGTTCGACAGCTGCTGGACCATCCCTGGGTGTTGAAAGATTACAACAGCCCTGTGGAGTGGCACAGCAGGCAGCCGGTACACACACACACACACACACACACACACACACACACATTCATCCATGACAATGCTATAGTAGATATAAACATAAACAGCGCTGCACAACTACAAACACTACAGAAGCATCTAACAGTTTATGGAGCTGTATGCTGTTTTAGTTTAGAGTTTTTCATTTGATTTCAAAGTCAAAATTTGATCCATTCTCTGAGGGTTTTTCTAGTTCTCTCCAGTCACCACACAGGCCCCTGAAACAATGTCATAATCCGTAATATGAATGTTATTTGGGAATTATTCTTTTAGTGCTCACATATAAAATGTTTTTAAAAAAGACTTTAATATTTTGTGTTTGTGCCTTTTGTGTAGCTCGGTCACATCGATGAGGACTGTATTACTGAGATGGCTGTCAACATGAAACGATCGAGGGAGAGCACCACAGCGCTGGTCAAGGAGGTGTGTCTGCACTGATGTTCATTATGCTGATCAGTTTATCATCAGTTGATTTCATTGTGTTATGAATGGTGACATCACAACAAATGCATATGTTGATTATGTCTGTTCCTCTTGTATTCTATGCAAACATAATATTTGACATACTTTGTATTTGAAATGCAGTCTAATACATGTTAACTCCTACAGTGGCGGTATGACCAGACCACAGCCACCTACCTGCTGCTGCTGTCAAAGAAGCAGAGGGGCAGACCTGTCCGCCTGCGCCCTGAACCAACAGTCTGTGAGGAGTCCTGCTCTCCGCTGCACCAGGGACTACAGGTCAGACTCCATACCACAACTCCCAAAATGCTCTGTTCTTCCTTCGAGCTACTGACTGTCCCTACAGCTGCATGTTCTGATTCAGTCTTCTTGACTCTACCTTGTACCTTACATTAGGGCTGGGTGATATGGATAAATCAAAATGATTGTGTGTGTGAAGGCAAATAAAGAACAGCTAGTCTAGTAAATTCAGAAGATGACATCATTTTACTGTAAAGCAGGCGTGAAACAATACTTACAATATACAAAATCTAAGACGATATTTAATCTCGTATCGCGACATCAATAAAATATCGATTTATTGCCTAGCCCGACCTTATGTACTTAATGTTTCCCAACACTGAGCGTTTTTGTTGGTGTTTTGGTCTTTTTTTTTTTTTTTCTTTTTTTCCAAAATCTTATTTTCTCTCTTGCTTTCAGACAAGGGAAGCCCTTCACTTCAGCGAGGATGAAGACGCCGTGATTGTGGGTTCTCTGGACTTTTGCTCCGACTACACTGACGACTGCCCGTGGATTTCAGTTAAACAGTACACACCCCAGGGCGTCAGAGGTCAGCCAGATGGAGCTGCAAACAACAACGACATGGTATGTGAAAGCTGGGGCACATGTATGTTTTTGCTGTCCTCCGTGTTCTTCCTGATTAAGTTTGGATTAGAAACCGTGTTAGCTGCGATGGTGAAGGGCCATGTCTCTTGTCTTACAGAGAAATCTGCTCATACCACATTTATCTCTTCTTTGTATTCCTATAGAGACTAGCATCTCCTTCAGTGGAGAAAAGGTGTGCTTACAGCCCGACCCCAGAGAGGGGGCGAACTAAGACACAGCACCGTGAGGAGAGGAGGCACAGAGACCAAGAACGAGCCTGTGAGAACAAGGAGAATATTGCTGTGCAGGAGAAGGATGTTGAAATATTTGCGTTGCCTCCTCCTCGAACCCCTGTGTCCAATAAGAAGAATGCACGGCCCAACAAGAATGTGTTGACCACACCCAATGGAAATGCTAACATCAATGACACCAAAGCCAATGCAGTCACGCCTAAAGGTCAGGAGTCTCTCTGCTACTCAGCCCACGGCAACACAGAGTTTCAGTTCATCATCCAGTTTATTTGTATACTGTAATTGTTTTTTTGTTCCGAACAAGGGCTTGAAGTACAATCTCTATTAGATTATTTGCATTAGCCAACTGCCCCTCTCCACATCGTTCTCTTTCATTTATCTGTCCCTCGCTCAGTCTTCATGCAGCTCTCATAATCACAAGTGCCACGTCCACATGCCACACATTTGCAAGTAAATTGTCTTCTGGTAATAAACTCATTTATTGGGCCTGTTTTTATCCCAAAGCCACTCATATTTCTATGATTTAGCTGTCATTACTGAAACCACTGAAAATGAACACACACACACACATGTACACACTTATCACTGTCAACTCAAAGGTGAGGTTATTATTATCAGGAAGCTAATTCTACTCACTTATCTATAAATGAAGGACACTAATATGAATGGAGAATCATTAAAGTCTTTATTATTTGTCAAAGTGAATCCTCTGCTCAGGTGTCCGGCCTCATTAGTTTACCTTATAAACTTGGCCATAAGCCGGCTAACGTGCTGCAGCTGACCTATTTGGTGTTAAACCCTTGGAATCTGGCGCGGTCCTGCTCTCTTAACAGCCTCCTGTTCTCTGAGCTACAGTGCAGACATGCTGCCTCTGACAAACTTGTCCACACACACACACACACATGCACACCGTGATCTGTGTGTCTGTCCCTAGGCGTGCGCTGTGACAGGTGTAGCTGTCTCTTTCCTCTGCTTACCGTCCCACGTGGGCTGTAGTGACATGTGTTCTCTTGCCACTAAAGCCTAGCTCTCTCTCTCTTTGTGTGTGTGTGTGTGTGTGTGTGTGTGTTTCGGGCTTCTTGTCTCTGTGTATACCAAAGCCTTTGTGTTAAGCTCCAATGACAAAGCTAGCCAATTCCATGCATAAGAGCAAAGGGCTGCACTGATTATTTTCTCATCCAACCTTCATCCCGGTTTCCCCTTTTCATTTACTTGTAAGACACTTTGAGGTTGCAACCACAATCTGATTCCATAATGTCTGGACAGCGTCATAGGGTTGGGTATCACATTTGATCCGATAACGGTATTGTTAGGGTACCTGGGATTCGATACAGGTACTCAACTTTACCGTTTTTTTTTTTTTTGTTTTCGGTACTGTGCTTTCTCTGTAATAACAAAATGTAATTTTTGAACACACTGCAGGGGTAGGCGAGCTCCGTGGTCAATTTCCCGGCATCAGGGCACTTCTGCCCTCTGTCTGATGTTAAACCTGGCAGCTCTGCAGAGCTCCATTGCTGGCTTCGAAGCTCCATGGCTGGCTTCCAGGCTTTGGGGCACTTCACGGCACTCTTGCCTCTTGTCTTAACCGGGTGTTCTCACCCAGATGTGCTCTTAGGTCCCAACCTTTGGGGCTGACACCAGCATAATTCAGTTGATATCCTTAAAAGTACTGAGATTGGTACCCAACCCTTGAAGCTGAGTGACATTAAAGGAGAAGTCCGGTATTTTGCACTTTGAGCCCCATTTCTGGGTTGTTTATGATGAAATAGAGTGGTTAAGACCAAAATTTTGACGAGTGCTCCTTTTCAGAGAATTTGGCTTTCCCCTGCTGCCTATGGCCATGTGTGAACCTGTCCTAAAACCACCCTAAACGTTCATTTTCAAAGCCATGAAACTCACAGAGTGGTCAGTGGTGTTCGTTCTGACATAAGAATCATAGCAAACTGTGGTTTCCATCCGTGATAATTTATTTGACATTTGGCCTAATCCATTGATTTATATAGGAAGCCTCATTGTCCATTGGTAGTAATCCACCACCGGAAACGGAAAGGGGGTTGTTTACGACAAGGTTGTAGTCATTGTAGTCTTTTAGCTCAGCGAATGTGCCGGCTCGACAGTGATGAAGACGAAAGAAAAAGTTTTGTAATAAGTTTAAACAACTGCACAATGGATTTTGAAAGGTGGATTCTGGATGATGATGCATTCGAAATTGATTTTGACAGCCGTGGTTACCGATTTGAACTGGAGTATACGTCTTCTGCCTCTTTTCTCTGTCCCCATTTCATTGCAATGTTTTCCTGCCAGTTGGTGACACCCACGTAAAGGAGCATTATCACCATCAAGTGGGCTGGAGTGTATAACGCTTCAGGGTCAAACAAATGATCACGCGGAAGTTTACACACGTGTGTGAGGCAGCTGAAAAAAATAGTTCCACAGTCAAGATGAATAGTGAAAATACGGATGGAAACCACAGTTTGCTACGATTCTTATGTCAGAACATCAACAAACACCACTGGCCACTCTGTGAGTTTCATGGCTGGAAAACAAATGTTTAGGGTGGTTTTAGGACAGGTTCACACATGGCCATAGGCAGCAGTGTTAAGCCAGGCAGGGGAAAGCCAAATTCTTTGAAAATGAGCAGTCGTCACTATTTTGATCTTAACCACTCTATTTCATTATAAACAACCCAGAAATGGGGCTCAAAGTGCAAAATACCGCACTTCTCCTTTAAGAGAAATATTAAAACCCAAAACAGTTTTTGTTCTCCAGTGGTGGCACCATTCCACCAAATAGAAATATATTGTCAGTGTCCTCTGCACCATTTTTAACATATCTACTCAAAAATATATTCTTCCATATATATCTATGGAAGTAAAAATTGTTTTCATTACAGATTAATTCCCATTTATTTTTGTGGGATTTATTGTTAACTGTGTGGTCTATAAAACAGCAAAAATATCTATCCCAGTTTCCCAGGGCCCGAGGTGACCTCGAATGTCTTGTTTTGGCTGACCAACAGTTGAACTAATTGTTGCGGCTTTAAGTTCTGTTGGTTTGAACAATGTTTGGCTGCAAAGCAAGAGTATGTGATGACTGGTTCGGCCGATGAGTCAGCAGGGTGTAAAAGGAAAACATGTTTATATTCATTTTTTTTAACCAAAGTATTTCTGTGTTTCCTGTGTGTGTTGTAGGTGGAGGCAGTGCCTCTAAAGAGCACAATAAGAAGAGAGTAGCAGAGTTTAAGGAGCTTGCAAATGTTGAAATAGTGGCCTTGAGTCCTGAGAGAAGGTGAGTGGAGTTTCCAAATATGAAAGAGGGAGTAGGGGAAAGTGTCTGTGTTAATAAGTGAATGGGATAAATATAGACAATAGTTGGGTGGGAGGGAGGCTAAAGTTCACATCTAAAGTCACTGGGGACCTCAGGGTGGCCTATGGGCTTAAGAGACTGAATTCCGGTTAAACGTTGATAGGTCTCTCAATTTAAGTCAATTTGAATTTAGACTGTAATGGTAAACAGCGTAAGATTCCTGTTTCTGTTCAAATACTGAAATGTTAACCTGTAATCTAGTTAGGTAAGAGCAGTTTGATCAAATGACTTGCCAAAGTGAATAAATACGAGATCCTCTTTGCTCTCCAGGTCTCGGTCGTTGGACATGGCTGTTATGGGAGACAGCGGGAAGAAGAAGAGAGGAGGAAAAGTGTTTGGTTCCCTGGAGAGAGGCCTGGATAAGATGATCACCATGCTTACTCCCAGCAAGAGACGAGCCCTTCGTGACGGTCCACGCAAGATCAAGGTATAGAATGTGCACACCTGCCAGAAGTATTGTATACTCTTAAAAATGGAGGTACTAACTAGAACCATACAGGGGTTTTGTGGCTTGTCTCCAAAGGGACACCTTTGGAACCCTTATTTCTACAAATGCACACATTATATCATTTTCTTTCATCCGTCTTTCCTCCGAAGGCACAGTACAATGTTACTCTGACCAGTCAAACCAACCCAGACCAGGTCCTTAACCACATCCTCTCCATCCTGCCGGAAAAAAAAGTTGATTTCACACAGAAAGGGTAAGATGACGCACCTTCCCTTGATTTCTGATCAGGTGGCCCCAGTCTTTGATCCAATCGTAATGTTTCTATGTCACCTTCTTCTCCTTTCATTCAGGTATACCCTGAAGTGTCGGACCTGGGGCGACTTTGGGAAGGTAACCATGGCGTTTGAGCTGGAGGTGTGCCTGCTGCAGAGGCCAGAGGTTGTTGGGGTCCGTCGTCAGAGACTAAAGGGAGATGCCTGGGTCTACAAGCACCTGGTAGAAGACATCCTCGCCTCATCCAGTATCTAAATAATGCACTTTACTAACAGTCATTGCCCGTGTCAAGTCAATTGATGCTGGCCTTTCTGTGTCCAAGAATACATGATGTTGAATTGGTGATTGATGCACAGATTCATACACTAGAAGGTGTCTTAGTACATCAGTGATTAGTCCTTCATTATTCAAAGTGAATATTTAAAATTGTCCTTAGGCCAGCCTGCAATCTCCAGATCACATGTTACATTAAATTTATGAGCATTACATCACAGGATCCTGTACAGCGTGTCTTGTTTTATGTAGAGTATTGCTGTTTTTCTTCCTAATTATTAAGCTGAATAGGATCTCTGTCAACCCTCTTGAGATGAATGTGTGTATGTATGAAATACAATATAGCTATTTACAGTACAGTTTACCTTCTGGCTGCTTATTACCATATTAATGTCTTGATGTTGTTATTCTCCCCTGTAGGTGTAATTTACTGTCATTAATGTACATGTGTTTACAATGCTAACATCATGACATTTTTACATGGCTGTGTTGTATGAAGCTCTTATTTCTTGTTGGTGCTTGTCTAGTTTTTACTGTCATATTGTGTGTCTGTAAGATTTCTACTGACAAAAGGAGCAAAATAAATGGTTTCTGGTAAATGTAATCTTCCTGTGTTTATGGAGACGGATGATTGAGATTAATTTATGTACTTCCTTGACATCAAATGTTCTTTCTTTTTTGATTCGCTCAGCAGTTTGATGGAGCAGTGGTGTGTTTTACACTCTGTCATCATCCTTCTGTTCATCTTCTGGTCCTCACTCCTCTTTAGTACAAAGATTGATAGTGATAGTTTAGCTTAGTGACAGCGTTTGATGCGGAAGGGTGTCAAATGTCTGCAGTGTTTCATCACTTGAGGTACTTTAGATTCAAAACACACATCTTGCACTCACATGTTGAATAGTTTTAATAATGGTTACTAATTACAAACAGGAGCAACAGTTCAGCATTTTTATGCAAAAGTACTTCACATATGTAGAATATTGTCAGATCTATGGTATATTTTGTCAAGAAAATGATTGGGTCATTGATCTACAGGAATTCAGATGTCCTGTGTAAGTAAATTTATAACCACAGTGAAAGATAATGATTTACCTTTGACACTCAAAATGGTGGATGATGATTGTTATGGCAGAAACGGCTGTAGGAGCATGATTGTTATGACTGACTGAATGACTAAATAATGATGATCATTGCCTGCAACATCTGAGCCGACTAAAACAGAAGAGTCTGAGGGGCTCCTCTCCCCTCCCTGCTCCGAGACAAGATGCCACTTAGTCATAACAGTGCTGCAGCTGATTGGCATTTATTTGTGGCAGGTTCTCCTTGGCGTCTCAGCAGGGAGGAGAAGGGTAACGATGGGTTGAGGTGATGATAAGGGGGGTTTAACCTTAATGGAGTCTGGAGTGGGTGGGGGGTGGGATGATAATTTAAGACAGAGGTGAAGGTTGGAGTTAGGAAGATAAAAAAAAAACATCCTCAAAAACAGCCTCAGCCCATGTCCTCCATATTATTCCAGTGGTGGTAATGACTCCTGCTGGGCTGAGGTTGGAGGATCAGAGCATGTTTGTGTGTGTGTGTGCTGTGGACAGCAGCTGGAGTAAAAGCCCGCTGTCACCTTTCTCACATATGTGAAAGACTCTCCCCTCTTTTCTGGCCTTTCCCCATTTTCTTCAACCATTGCATGAGCCAGATTCTTCTCACGTTTTCACATGCTTACCTGATTTTTTCTTCAATATTTTGGTTTTATATCATAAATTTGTTGCCTTATATTGTTTCATTTGCTTCACCTTCTCAGTATCTGCAGGAGTAGTGGGCCAGGTAGATGATTCACGGTTTACTCCTTGTAAGAAAAAACTCCAAATCCCTATTGTCATTGTCCCTCCATTCAAACAGGGGGCACTCCAATCTCAAGTTGTGAAGTTTAGTCCATGCTTGTTGACAGCTAGAAAAAGAGAGCATATCTGACCCAAAGTCCTGCAGAGGATTAATGACATAAAGCTGAGAAACTCTGCAGAATGTAGAGCAGTGTGAAACTTCCAGCAGGACTCAGCAGCAGAGTGAGCTGACACACAGTACATCCAGTTTGGGAGCAGTGTTGAGTAAGTAGAAATTCTTTGTAAATGCTAAAACAGGTCGGCGCAGATTTGTGTTTACTTGTTTTGCTTGTGCTTTTCAGGCTTGTGAGTGTAAAGACATGTAGGAGAAATGAGGCTTCTGCTGACAATTGTTCTCATTGTCCTTTGCCTATGTGAGTTTATGATTTTTGAGAGGAGCTGTCACACTAATATGGCCAGGCAATTTAGTTTTTTTGTAAGCCAGCTACATGACACATCTATTTCTTCTTGTTCCTCTGACTGCATATTTGTCCACTGCTCATTTTTCAGGGCTTTACAAGGCTCAGACGTCTAATGACACTTCACAGGGAAATCCTTGTGAGGTAGGTCAATAAAAACAGTAGTTAGGCCTATGTGTGCCCAACCTGGGGGTGGAGGGAGGTCTTAGCATAGGGGTGTGCCATGGGAAATGTCCCCCTTAATATTTAGAACATGTGCATCAGACTCCTCCACCGGGTCGGGTACCCCAGGTAACCTGCAAAAAGCTGTGTAACAGGTAAAATATGTATATGTATATATAAATTCATGGGTACGGGCACAGGGAAAAATGAAGAGTGAGTGGGTGAGAACAAAAATATGTTTTATTTTTCAGAAAATGATATTTTGACTTCTAAGTCACAATTCCTTATATCCTGGAAGTCAATGACACAAGTTGAACCTTTGACCCCATTGTCATATTCGTCTCTGACGTGGAGGACTCCAGTGATGAAACTTTGCAGCCCGATGATGAGGCACCCAAGGAGGATCCTTTTGAGGTTTTATGGTGGTGGAAAGAGCATGCTAAAATGATTCACAACCTGGCAGTGATTGTGCAGAATGTTTTCGCAGCATCCAGCACAGCCAATGAAAGAAACTTTGCCTCTGCTGGAATTGTAATAAAATAACAGAGAATCCAGCTTAATGTGAGTGACCGTAGCTTGTGGTTGTTCAGTCACGGGTGGGGGTTGGGTTACTGGACTTCTTCTTTTTTTTTTTAAGATATTTTTTTAGGGCATTTTTTGCCTTTAATTGACAGGACAGTGAAGCATGAAGGTGGGAGAGAAAGAGGGGGAGAGACGTGCAACAAAGGGCCACAGGCTTGACTCGAACTCGAACCACTGCGGCAACAGCCCAGTGCATGGGGCGCCCGCTTCACCACCAAGCCACCGACACCCCAGGGTCACTGGACTTCTATTAACAGGTGCAGGCAGGTGCAGCTTTGACTAAGACTTAATGATGGGTGACAGGCCGATTCTGGTACGCTGGTACTGAGCTTGGCAGATTAAGGTTTTCAAAAATGGACCCGTGTAGGACTCTGATGGTCTGGTAGCTGAATCGTTACAGTGCATGTCTGTGGTTTGAGTTCAGCTGGGAAGTTTTGTCACTTGTCATACCTGTCTTTTGCCCATGTTTCCTGTCTCCCTCTTCACTACTGACTGTCTAATAAAGACAACAGTGATGCCAAAAAAATCAGCAAGTCAAAAATTAACAAGTATCTTGTGAATATAGTGGAGCATTTAGGCCCTGTCTACATGTATACACATGTTTTTGAAAAAATATGTTTTCCCCCTCTGTTTAAAAAAATTAATTCGTCCACACTACTCTCGTTCTCACAAGAATGCAAAAACGACCACAAACATACGCCAGCCTGAGCTGTTTTTAGCAGTCTCTCCTCGTCATAAAGGTTGTAAAGCATACAGGCTAAAGTTACCTTTTTCAAAACACAGAGTGGAGATTTCATCACTGTTTATTTCCGTTTGATGTTGGGATTGAGAATTGCATTTTTCCTTTTAGGCTGTATCCATGAGTGGCGCAGCAGTGTCTCTCCTCTTGTCCCCTCTGTCTCTGTACTCCTGGCTGGCCTCCACGCTACTCAGAATCGTCCTGTCCGTCCCAGCTCTTGTCCTCAGCTCCTTGTATCACTCCCTGCTGCTGCTCCTGGCTTGGCCCTGGTGCGTTGCCACCATCTGTGTCTCCATGCTGTTGACTTGCCTCCATATTGCCCTGTACCTGCTTCACCTGGCTCTGGTAGTTGGGGTGGGGGCCATTTTAACCCTCAAGCAGCACAAAATGGCTGATGGAGACGCCACCAATGAGAAAGTGTTGTACCAGCAGAAGAAACAGGAGAGGAGTTATATTAAAACCAAGCTGAGGATGTTTAGTCGTAGAGTTGCAGAGCAAGGCTGAATTCTCCTGTAAATGATCTCACTGTGTGTTTCTTTGAGTAAAAATCCACCTCAATTTGTTTGGACCTGCTCTTACCTTCATTTATTTAATGAACATACAACTGCAGTTGATTTTCACACAGATCTTGTGCTTAAATTGGCTTTGGGACACTTTGTGAGAAGCAACAGAAAAAAAACACTGATTAGTGTGTGTCCTCGTGACCTAAATGAGGGTGAAAATATATCTGCTAGTTGCTACTTTAACAAACAGCCTACAGTTGTCCACTTATCTATCGCTCTCATTTTCTCTCTCCTCATCTTTAAATGTGGCCCCCCAATTATATCCGGATTGTTGTGCTGTTTTCTTGCCATCTGCAGATGTTATCATTAGACATGTCTGTCAAATGGAGATGAGCGGATAAGAGAAATAGGGAGAGGAATAAGAGAATATTTTCTGCATTCATTGCGCCTTTAGATGTGTGTGTGTATGTGTGTACACAGCGCAGGGCATGCAAACCATATTCCTGAAAAACACTAATAAAGGGAGTTAACAGGGAGAGAAACTACATGTGGTATAGGCGTTGAGCCAAAGCAGCGAATGCTTGGCCAACCAGTAAACAGAGTGTGCTGACACGCCGTGGCTCTCAGATCTCAGGGAAGCATTAAAAATTGCCCGAAAAAACAATTTTATCAAAACTATTAACACTCCAGCCAAAGGGTGTAGCCATATAAAGGAATGGGTGAACTTTCCGTGCTGTTGTGAATGTGTGTGAGCATGTGTGAAAGAGACAGACAGAGAGACAGAAGGGAAATGAGGCTGGATCATAGAGATTTATTACATGGCCGTGGCATCCTAATTAGCATAAAGACTGGACCGGCCCACTCAAGCAGAGAATTAAAAACCTTAATTGTGCTGTCAGCCTTCCTCTCTCTTTCTCACTGTTGACTCTACTTCATTCCGCTCGCATTCGTCTCCTCCCGCGCTCTCCTCGCCCTCTCCTCCCTGCTTATGAAGTAGCCTCCGTCCATGCTGTTTAATTGTTGGTGATAAATGGGAAGCGGGATGTTTGTAATTGTCTCAGAGATGGAGAGAGGACGACGGTGATCGTCTGCAGGAAGGAGAGGAAGAGGACGGGGAGAGTTTTCCTATTTGAAACGAGGAGAGTGAGGAGGCCATTTATCAAATGTTTGTTTGAAGGAGGAAAATTAGCTTGGCAGACACAGGCCAGGAAGCATTAGTGGGATTTGATCCCAGGCCAGACTGGGCCTACATGTGGAGCCAAAGTTTTTCACCATAATGCAACGTTCACATCACATGGGATGGATGGTAGGGATAGGAAAGGGTC